ATTTCACAAGCTTGCTCACACAACCTCTCCTAGCTTCTCCACGCTCTTGAGAGTCTCCTCCTAAGCATTCATAAAAGTTGGATCGAGCAGGGTGGAGGTTAGGAAGGCCGCATGAGAGTTTTCTTTTTCACCATTATCAGCAAAATTGTCAATAACAAGCTCCAATTGGCTCTTCATATCCAGTTATAGAATGTAGCTTAGATCTGCAGAATTACCCATGAAGGGCTCCATCCCTAACTCAAAGTCAGATATCCCTGCTGATTTTTGAGAAAAGTCTTCTAGACATGGAGGTGGATCTCAAAACTCCCAAGGTTTGGTTATGAAATGTAGGAGGGTGATTGCACGGAACCCTAATCCGTAGCCTTCTCTGTACTAATTGCTCCATAAAGTCTCAGTGTATGTAACACCAAATGAGTGTTGGTTGATACCCCCAAATGTTTGAGAAGCCATATGGATTCATGATTCAGACCTGCACAACCAAAAACAAAAAACACCCAAGTTAAAAGCAATGGTGGAAAATAAAAAGAAAAGGAAAGAAAGAAACGCTTAAGTAATAAACTTGTTCCTTTACTAATAATCTAGCAGTCCCTGACAATGGCACCAAAAACTTGACTCGCTAAAACTACAACTCCAAATCAATTACCAGATGCAACTAATGACCAAAATGCAGTACAATGGAAGTAAGTTTAATTATCATTCCAGGGTCTCTAGATGTATTACTACTGAAATCTATAATCAAGTTCGAGTGATAGCAATTTAAACAAAGAAATCAAAGAGAAATTGATTCAATTTTAAGATATCAGGAAAGATCACTCATGTATTGATTCCCCTAGTCTCTAGTAAGATGAATGAACATAGATTCCCTAATTCATTTCATTCAAAATTTATACTATGGAGTATCCTTTATTAGCCTTGAATCTTGACTAAAAAAGATAATACCCTCTTCAATATACAACTCTCATCAAGTGAAACATAATATCAAGGCAATACAAAGTATAGTCCCTCTATTGGACCAAAAAGTAGTGCAAAGCAGTGAACCGATTCACTCTCGTGCAATCGATTCCCTACTTCCAATTGTTGATGCTCTGTTACCTTATTTTGAAATTTTGTCTCCTAGGCCAAAGCAAAAATCATAAGAATTTGATCATGATTCAAACAACTCATGAAAAATGCATCACTTGAATATAAACTTCAAGTTTAACAACCTAGGTTCTCAAACAATCATTAATCTAACCACACAAGACTAGGTCTCCTCCGATGGTGGACGGACGACTCAAATCATTTCCAAGGAGGTTTATCTCGTCCCTTTCTCTCTCTAGGGATCTCCCTTTTTCAATTTCAGAAGCTACAAATTGGATTCATTGAGAAAAACTCATCACTACCCATTTATATCCGACAGTGTGCATGTCATAAGCAAAGTCATGACAGTGACTTTCAACTCACGGTCTTTTGAGAGATGTCAAGATTATGATCATGAATTGGGATGGTCGACTATGAGCTTCCATTTTTCCCTTGCTTCTTGGATGAATGTAATAGTCAGGAGGTTAGATGTCATAGTCCATGCCATGACACTAGAATTCTGGTCATGACCTTTTTGCTCTTGTTTATCAAATGGAGTCACAGTCTGGGATGGAACATCATGGTCCTAATCATGACTTGTTTCCTCCTGGCCGTGACTTCTACTCTTGGTCCTCCTTGGTCCTGTTTTTGCCTCCAAATGTCCCGAAACTCTTTCCTAAGACATACCCATGTACTAGAACCCGATCTATGACAAAAGTACAAACTGGTGTAAAATAGGCCATCGAATGAGTATTACTAAGCTAAACAAGCAAGAAATGAGGACCAAAATATGATCATTAAGAACTTATTAGGATCTATTCATGCACAAAATAACAATCTATTTCTACGTGCTTGGTACGTTCATGGAAGACAAAATTCGCCGCAATGTGGAAAGCAAGCTAATTGTCACAGTACAAAGGAGTGGAACATCATTGAGGTGCATTGAGCACAACAAGTAACCAACAAAACTAAAGAACCTCGCTAACTATGATATCCATAACACGATATTTGGCTTTAGTAGGAGAACGAACGAAGACCTTCTATTTCCACGTTTCCCAAGAGATGGAAAATTTGCTGAAATAGACAAAAAAAAAACCAGTAGTATATCTGCGCGTATGTTTACAACCACCCCAATATGCATTACAGAGAGCAGTAAGAGTGAGGTCATTCCTAGTAGGAAGGAAAATGCCCTGATCTAGCTAGGACTTGAGGTAGCACAAAATGCAGATAGTTGCATCCATGTGTAGTTGAATATGAACATTAACAAACTGAATGAGAATGTTGACTGCATCGGTGACATCCGATCGAGTGACTGTGAGATAAAGGATACTACCAATGAGGCAAAAATATGGGAAGGATCGGCCAGAAGATTATCATCATGGGTAGAACGTGCTCCTTCTACATCCCTTATCTTGAGAAACTTCATCCCCATAAAATACTGTAGGTCTCCTATATCATTGAGGCTAAACTTAGCATCCAAAAAACATTTCAACTCGTCGATAAAAGGCAAGTCATTACCAGTCAAAATGACATCATCAACATATTGTGAAAGATAAAGAAAGAATGATTAGCTAGATATGACAAAAAACATAGCAGAGAGCAGCAGTGAACTTGTGATACCAGTTGCGAGAAGCCTAGTGGAGACAATAAATATACTTATGGAGTTTACATACACGAGTATCAACCGCTGGTGTGCAACCAGGAGGGATCTTCATGTAGACTCTTGATAGATATCACCATGAAGAAACACATTATTCACGTCGAGTTGATGCAGATACTAACCGTGACTGATTATGATAGCAATAAGGCAGCGAATCGTGATAAGTTTCGAGATCGGGGAAAAAGCATTGTGAGAGTTGATACCTTTGATATGTGTTTAACCTTTGGCCACGTGACATGCCTTATAGCACTCATTCGTGTCATCTAGATAATATTTTTTTTAAAACCCACTTTGCTACAATGGTGCGCTTCCCTGGAGGAAACTCCATGAGGCTCTACACCCCATTCTGATATATGGACGAAATTTCCTTTAACGTGGCTTCATGCTCCCTGGATCAGCAAAAGCTTCATGAAAGTTTACGGGCTCATTATAATAAGTGACTGCAACAAGAAAGGACTAGTAAGTAGGATGAAAATTTTCATAGGAAACAAAAGCATAAACAATAGTCAAGTTACTTCCCAAAGCGATACTCGATATCATAGATACCCAAATGCTTAGACTGAACGTGAGAAATGGTCTCTTAGGTGTGGGTTGGGCTGGTTACCAAACGAGTGGCGCCCTCACCCCTAGAAACGGATAGGAAGACTTTCCTGAAACCGCAAGGCACACACGATTTCCAAAAAGGTAATGATGTTTCCTCTCAACCACACCATTTTGTTATGGTGTATCTGTGCATGAGGTTGAACAAAGCACCCTCGTGCTCATAAAAGGCCCGCAATGTGAGAGTATTAAATTCACGATCATTATATGTTTGTATCCTATTGAGACTCTTACCAGGTTGTCACCATATTAACTGAGTAAACATAAAAATTTGAAAACAGTAACGGGCTGTTAGCCAAATCTTGACCCGCAACAATAATTATGCCTAATAATTTGTATTTCGATAGTTATGGTGATAATTCTCCCCTGCTTAATAGTTATGGCTAGTATATTATATTTACCCTAGATTTAAAACAAAATAGATAAAGCCAAATGTCACAGCTGTAGTCGTCCACTATAGTAAGAAAATAATGAGCACCTCCCACTGTTTTGAGTTGCTTAAGCTGCGTCAAGGTGAAGTCACCAACATCCTTCTTATTTTGCTCGACTTGAGAGCATAGCTCCCTACCACGCTCACGGGAACCTCATTCACCAACTGAACGATGATGTCCCCTTTGACAATTACTGCATTTCCCCCTCTCCTTGTTTCCACGCTGACTTTCATGGTCTGAACGCGGCAAAGGCAGCTGCTTCCGACAAAGGCTTGCAGTTTTGAGACGCGGCAAAGTTCATAGGAGTGAGACGCGTTGAATTGCCTAAAGCAACTTCGAAAATCTTTCCAAATCTCCTTTGAAGTTTCCGTGAATTATCTTACACTACTAAGAATCTCTTTATTCATGGTTGTTTTTAGCCACCCTTTAATCACAGCATCATAATGAATCCGAGCATTTCGTTGTTCTCTAGCCACCGGCTTGACTAGCGTCCCGTCAATGAATGCGAACTTCTTTGTTGCGACGAGTGAGTTCTTATATCAATTACACACTCACCATAATTTGAAGAGGAAGGGATGTCGCTAACAAACATCTGCCTAGGCCCATCTGAATTATGGAGATGATAAACCAAAGGGAGATTGAAATTCCCTCTACGTTGACAAGCATTGTGTCGCGCATGAAGCTACCAGAATCCTCCTCGCTCATCTTGTTGTTGATTATTCTGGATCATAATGCTCTGATACCATGTATCATAAACCAACCGGTCCGAATAATTAAAGTTGTTAGAAGATGTCTATTTATGATATTTAACCACTTTCGCACTAGACAAAAGCAACTACATCAATATTATACTTTTAATACCAGCCCTATTAGCATTGTCGTGTTGGTTTAAAAGAAAAAGATGAAGGGGAATATCGGTGGAGCGGAGCGGATCAGGTGAGTAACTCTATATTGAGTAACAATGCATAACTCAACCAGCAGACACTACATCAGCACTACCATATGGTATTGATTGGTATTAAATAAGAGCATTTCATATGGTATGAAAGTGTACCATGGTGGTATGAACATACCGGACCGTAGGATGGTTGAATACATGATATTAGGAATATACTAACTGTCATTTACTACATTCAACAATATTATTTTATCACCATTTATCACCCTATACCAGGGTAGTATTTTTTGTTAATGTATGTTTTTTCTCTAGAAATTTATAGATCCAATAGATCATGATGAACTCGTTCCTTCTGTGCAAATATATTAAAAAATAACGTAAAAACAAAGGTGTGAGTATATGGTATGGAGTTAGTATCGAGAGGTATGCAATTTTTTTCTCAAAAAATATTGAAAGTGCATATAATTTTGTAGATCACAAAAAACTCGTTCCAGCTGTGCAAGAAAATTTGAAATCCTAGTTAAAACGAAGAAGATAAACTCGTTCCAGCTGTGCAAGAAAATTTGAAATCCTAGTTAAAACGAAGAAGATAAAATTCGATTAAGAAAAATAGAAAAAATAAAAATACATTTAATTCACAATACTTAGATCGAGAACCCACTTTAAAGAAATGTCTAGATTTGGTTATGCAAGTTATACACCATTTATGCACTTCGGGAGACTGTTGGTGCGTTTAGCTAAGGATTTTCTGATTAGGAGTAGGTTAGGTTTAATTAACGAGGTGTAATTTAGCGATAGCAAGTTTGAATGGAATTGGGGAGGGGACTTTAGAGAAAGGAAGAAGAAAATAGAAGAAAATTCTATTGTTTTTACGCCGTTGACTGGAAGCCTTATTAAAAAAATAAAAAAGGATTGGCATAGCGCCATAGCCACATAGGGATTCCATTTCAATCAATTTTGCGGATTTGGTGGGCATTCTCTCTCTCTCTCTCTCCAAGTAAAAAGGGTGAAAAACAAAAATGATCCATCCTTTCATTTATCACCCTCACCATCGTCTTGCCAGTCTGCCACAACCCCGGGAACCGTTGTCGCGCCATTAAAGAGAACCTTCCTTTACCCGTTTTTCTTCATGTACCTCCTCCACCTCAACTTTTCTTTTCCACTTTACCCAACTTCACTTCTCCTCCATCTCTCTCCCCTTTCTTGATGGGTTACCTTTCTTGTAAGGCTGAATCCGCTATTGCCGTCTCTACGCCATCCCCCTCCCAGCCTTCCGCCGCTCTTCAGAACAAGCAGGAAAAGCCGATCAAGATCCATCAGTTCCACTACAGCGACCTCGAGGCGGCAACCAACGGCTTCTCCGAGCAGAAATTGCTGGGCAAAGGCAGCCATGGCTGCGTCTACAAGGCTGTCCTGCGTGGCCGCCGTGTCGCCGTCAAGAAGCCCTCCAGAGGGCTCGAGTTCGCTCACGAAGTCGACAACGAGATCGAGATCCTGTCAAATATTCGCAGCCCAAGATTGGTAAATTTGCTGGGGTTTGCTAATAATGATACTAAACATAGATTGCTTGTTGTCGAGTTTATGTGCAATGGTACTCTTTATGATGTTCTTCACTCGAATTCCAGACCCCCAAATTGGGGTCGAAGAATTAGGATGGCCCTGCAGATTGCTAAGGCTGTTGACACTCTGCACTCGCAGAATCCGCCCATTATCCACAGAGACATCAAGTCTGCTAATGTGTTGATTGACAGAAATCTTAATGCTAGGTTGGGTGATTTTGGGCTGGCTCTTAGGTGTGGCGTTGGTGATGGTGATAGGCTTAGATCAACCCCACCTGCTGGAACAATGGGGTATCTTGATCCTTGTTATGTCACACCAGATAATTTGAGCACCAAGACTGATGTTTTCAGTTTTGGGATTTTGTTGTTGGAGATTATTAGTGGGAGGAAGGCTATTGATGTGGGGCATTCCCCTCCTTCAATTGTGGACTGGGCAATCCCCATGGTAAAGAAGGGGAAGCTTGGTCTTATCTACGATCCGAGGATCCCACCCCTCAAGGATCCTTTGCTCAAGAGGCAGTTGGCTCTGATTGCTTCCAAATGTGTTAGGTCTTGTAGGGAGAGGAGGCCATCAATGAAGGAGGTTGTTGATTGGTTGAATGCATTGAACAAATTGGTTCCTCTTCACTCATGGAATGGATTCAACAATCCATGTATGATGGTAGAGACGATGGGGCGTCCTGTTGAACTGATGATGAATGGTCAGTTTGGTTTGAGACAGCAAGGTATTGGAGGTGAGAACTTGGATGGAGTTGATGGGAAGCTCGGTACGCGAATGATGAAGGATTCAAGAAGAGTGTTTTCAGATTTGGGATTGCGGAGCAATTTGATAGATCTCATGGAACGTGCAGAGGGGAAGTCTGGGTTTATGATTGAAGGCGATCATGAGGTTGATCAGTCTGATCTAAGGCCCTCAAGGCGGTTTTCTCGTTCCATTTTTGGTAGTGCAAGATATGTAACCAGAGGAAGAACACAGTCCAGGGCTCCCAATACAGATAAAGCTGTTTCACATATGCGGAGGATAAAATCAGTTGGGGATGGATCGGACTTGTTTGCTGATCAAATAGAAGAGAAATCTTCTCGTTCAGGTTGTAGTGCTACAGCCTGTGAGGATGACTAAAAGGATTGTGTCGATCCATAGATGCTCATGGTTGTAAGCTGTTAGTGCTTGTGAATTACAGGGAAGCAGATTTGTGGTTGTTTCATAGTTTTTCTCTTCTGGTTTCTGATTATTAGCATTCTTTTGCTGTCTTCTTCCAAATGTTAATGTATTCCCACATTTGACAATGTGTAGCTCCAATGATACATGGCCATCCAGCAGTTACTTGTTCATCCAACTGTAGTGTAAGATTTAAAATGCTCTTTTGAATAAATGCGGAGCAAGATTATGTGTCCACTACGTGACATCAATCTTGGTTCCTTGCTGCTGTCATGCATTTTGATTCATGTTTGTTTCTATCTAAACTGATGCCAACATCAGATAATATGCAAGCTCTCTATTAGCTGTAGGCGATAGCAATAGTCAACCATTGATCCATATTTCCCAGATATTGCAATAAAAAATTTCTAGTAGTTATTGTAATATAAACAGAAAAAAAACCCTGAAATAATTTTTTTTTAATCACAATACATCACTTTGAATCCCCCCTCCCCCCCACACCCTAAATACTAGAGTTCGGAGCAGTTCGCTTCAATGTCAAGCGAACCACTATCGAATCTACTAGATAGTGCAGCGCTCCACTCCAAATCTCCCGGATAGAAGCAGAATCAAGCAACTAGAGTCTAAACAACTCGGATCACGGCCAACACAAGTGAACCACCCTCAAAACTATGTTGCAGAGCACACCAAGTTCGTCGATGAAATCCACAATGTCAAGCGAACCACTACCGAAACTTCTAGATAGTGCAGCGATCCACTCCATATCTCCCGGATAGAAGCGCAATCTAGCAACTAGGGTCTAAACAACTCGGATCACGGCCAACACAAGTGAACCACCCTCAAAACTATGTATATTGCAGAGCACACAAATGAACCACTCTAGTTCGTCGATGAAATCCACGATCTTTACCTAATCTAGGTAGGAATTTCCAACGACCTTAACATTTCGCTCTGTTAACCGATCACAGTGATATTTATTTGATTTTCCATAACTTTACCAAGACTACAACTTTTGTTATAGAAATATTTTCTGAATGTAAATGGAAATGTGAAAATGAAAGCTAGAGTCATTCTCAAAATCTCTTAAATCCAAAAACATCTCCTATTTTGGAAAATTCTCTCTAGTATAATTTGTAGTCGTTAACAAGAAACGAAAAAATAAAAAAAATATGTAATTGTCAGATTGTGGAGCACAAAATTAGTGTGGCTCGATGCTGTCACTAGCCATTCACTATGGATCGTTTTATCAGTTGCGATCCATAGTGATTTAGTTTGGTTCGCTTAGGCCGGGCGCGCATTTGTTCAGTTTTGCCCCATCCGATGTAGATCGCTCCCGTGTCAAGCAAACTAGGTAGTAGTTCACATGTCATTGGAGTAGGAATGAAAATAGAGCAGGTATGGGACTATTATATCGATATCCATACTCGTCCCGGGACGGGTCAAGTCCAGTTCAGTAATTTATCATGGTGCACCGATCGGGGCAGGTCAAGCCATATGAGTATGTGATTTGAAAGGAAAACATTAGAAATATTATTATTCAATAAAATTCTAAGGGAAAATGTAATATGATAAATGCAGTCAAATTATTTGAAAAATTTAGACTCTCACTTATTTATCACTTCATTATAGCTAAAATATAAGGTAATAAAAATAAAATCTACGTAGTTTGAGTAAATTTACATGTAGTTTACCCCAAAATTGGTCGAGAATGAGGGTCAGGACATATCAGGTTGAGGAGCTCGTCCCGTCCCGTCTAGGATACGGATAATACCCGCCCAAAGTAGGTCAGCTAAAACGAATCTAATTGGAATTGCGATCCTTATAATGGAGCAAACGACTCCAAACTCTAGTATTTTGAAACAATAATTCAAAAGATTTATAATGAACATTTTTTATTAATTCTATTATGTAATTATTGATACATGGATGTCCAATGACCTACCACATCAGAAGCTCACTTGGGAGTTACATGTAACCCCTATTCCTACATCATTATCTCTTATTCATATGCATTGATATAAGGATGTAGTGATTACCAAAGTGTGCCTATGCATTGATATAAGGATGTAGTGATTACCAAAGTGTGCCTATAAATAGAGCAGTTATTTATATCAAAAGTGAAGAATGAATAAGAAGAACTCCCTCTGCCAAATTATCATTGGTCGAAGACTCTCGACATAATCTAATGCATTGAGGTAAGATATAAAATATGATCAAGATTTTTTTATAGCTATTCCAAAATATTCCAATGGAGGCTACTTATTTCTCATAGTAGGCCATCCATGAATGTTTGTACCTAGTATGTCTATTTTCTATGAATAAGTTGGATTTCAATTTTATACATATTATCTATTACCTTATTGTATATGTTACTTTTGTAAAATAAAGTTTGTGCCTGTTGCACTATCATAAAAGAAAAATTGCTCATGTAGTAGCAATATCCTAAAACAATTTATTATCAATTATTGGTTAATTTCTGAATTCCTACATTGTATGTGTTGGGAAATGAAAGTGTCAAGAATACATATTTCCCAGAAGTAGAAAAATGGAGGAACAAACTGGACATGGTAATAAAATATTGAAAATACGCGTTACCATTGTGATAGAAAAGTTCAATGATCCGTACCAGTTGTACGCTAAAACAGATCTACCAAGAATGAGGAAAAGAAAATTCATATGTGCTCCTGTAGTAGCACTATTATGGAAGAATTTTTGTACATGACAAGCTTATCTATTATCCTCTAAAGATAGTGTATTTTTCAAAAATTTAATTAATTTGATCCAAAGAGGTTATCTTATTCAAGAAATTGAATGAAGCTATTTTATTTGTTCCGTGAGAAGGTATTCTAGAAAGTGAGTGAAACAAATCATTCCCATAAGTGAATGAAACACTCCATCCCCAAAAGTGTTTAGAGTGAGAAAGAGAAATAAATATTATACAAATGAGAATGTCAATCACGACTTTTCAAGTAGAGAAAGTCCTGATAATATTTTGTACCTATCATATGTTGAAATATGAAATGAAACACACACACACACACACACATATATATATATATAGCGTACTTCAGGCATACGTTGTACGCCTGTGTTCATACTTGGTTTTTGCACTTCAATATATTTCACTGAATCAGAATCGTCGGTTATTATTTTTTAGATTAAATGAATCTCGTGGCCTGGGTTAGAGAATTAGGGACTGGGGTTTATCCATTAGAGGTTAGGGTATAGTATCATGCCCAAAATTTCGGTTAATTCCTGCTCTAAATAGTAAAACTCGACGGGCGTACAATGTACGACTGACGTACGCTAGCCTGAACCATATATATATATATATATATATATATATATATATATATATATGGTGACTACTTCGGTGCACTCACAAAAATGAGTGCGTTCAATGCACCCAACTCAAAAACTAGTCTTAGGGTGTCGGATTTCGAATTTTAATTTGTAGAATTAGTGTAATATGATGATATAACATATGATAACAACTAATTAGCGGATTAATCTAAGCCCTAGACCTCCAATTTTGAGTTCTATCCCTAAACCCCAAATTGTAAACCCTAACCCTAAATCTCAAAACTCTAAATCCTACAAATCAAAGTAAATCTTCAATGGTTTTTGTGCAAATTCATGTGTTATTGTTCATCATATCATAAGTGATGATTGACATCATTTTGACATAAATCGCATGTTTAAAATGATGGTTATGAAGCGAGTGCACTGAATGCACCCAAAAAAGTGAGTGCACCGAAGACGCCACCATATATATATATATCAACCCTGAAGGTGTAGTCACCTAATTGGTGATTGTAATATTCCAAATAAATCATATTCAAGTTTGGTACTAATAGATTGATTTCAAAATTAATTCTTGTTTCTTTATTATGCTTTATTGCACAAAAAATATTTTAATTTATTAATAAAGAATTAGTTACATTATTACTTATATCTTAACGTAGAGATATTCTCCTTGTTTTTAGTATAAATGTCATTATGAAGCATGAATATTTACAAGAATAAATATTCTTATTATATCATATACTACAAAAGTAAATAGAAGCTCCGGAAGAGCTTATGTTTTAATTACTTGAAGTAGCTAACTTATATATGAGCGAAAACAAATATTGTGACTTCACACTAAGTCATGGGCAAAATTTAGTACCAAATTATGTAAAACCTCTAGAAGAGCTAATGTTTTATGTGATATATTAGTACTATCTGTACACATAAAAATGTAAACCAGAAGTTTACAAGATTTGATAACTTGGTAATTTGGTTAGACCATCCCTTGGTCACCTTGATATCTAGGGTCATGGAGTCCCAGATCATGGACAAAATTCAGGAGATTAGTTGCTTGGGCGGCATTCTAGGGATTTTTGCCGTGTTTTTCATTCTCATGGAGAGTCACATTAAAATCTCCCATAACCACGAAAGGAATATCGATAGCATCACAACTTTCATGCAACTAAGCCAATTGGTGAGCTCTTATTGATTCAATGCAACTAATGTATACAAAAACCACAACATAGGAAAATTCCACTTCATTAATTTGAGTACAAATGCAGAAGCTGGAATGAAAAAAAACAGAAACATCAACTTCGGGGGCCTAAGCTAACACAAGACCACCAGATGCATCAATGGCATCAAATGCAAATTATCAAAACCTAAACCTCACATACGACATGAAACGACTCTCCGGCGCGATATGGTTTCTGAAAAGAAAACAAAGTCCGGTTTATTAGAATGAACTAAACCGACAGCGGTTTGAAGCCTTATTTATCGGATCGGAGCCATTTTAGGCTGGCTTCCTCCACCTTTTCAGATTCATCCTCCACAAATTGCTTATTGGGATTAGGGTTATCACCTATCTACCCCTCCACATCACTCAATGGGCGCTTACGACCCCCAAAATCAGGGTCAACTAAATTAGTCCCGTATTCATCGAGTTGAACGGTATCCTCCACCTTCTCCTCCTGCCACGCTCTCATTCTTTCCATGACTTCGAGAGCTAGCTGTTTGTCAACATGGGTGGTATCTTCATCAGTGATAACCATCCCTAATTCAAAGGCAGCAACCACCTGCTGAATCTACCCATTGATGAACCGAAGAGCCTTGGCGAGATCAGTCATTGGTGTTCGGCTTTTGAACTCGAAGTGGAGTGCATGATCCTTCAAAGAGGGATCCACCAGGTCTTCGACAGTCTCTGCATAAGGGCTCTTCAAAGTGTACTCAGCACGCAAGGTAGAGGAGGGGCCAGCCTTGGTCGTCACATGATTTTCTATAACAACCTGCTCGGTCTCCGACATGTTGGGAGCATGAGAGTGAGCACGAATCCTCCATTGCCCAACGCCCCGCTTCGTCTTGACTTCTGGTTTCACACAACTCTGGACACAGTGAGGGAGGGGGGTCGAGGAAGGGCAGGAGGAATTACGAGCATCCCCTTCCCACATATAGTTGTCGTCTCCCCCATTAACTCGGGCCTTATGAGATGCTTTTACAAGGCGACGCCCTCTGCCCTTATCATTGGGTTGATCACGTTTCATAGGGCGATCATGCGCATGCAATGGATGAGAATCATCCTCTGAATCTTCCAAAATCAACATATGTCGACGCATGTGGTCCTAGAGAGAGGCTTGTGGCAGAGAACCATGGGTTTCTTGGACCTCAGCCAGCCTTGCCCTTATGTCAAGAAATGCTTCGACATTATCACTCTTCCCTAAAACCGAAAAATTACAAGAAGGCCGCTCTTTTCGTCCTCTCTATTCAGTCTTATGACTAGCTTCGAGGTTAGCATGTCCCCGGACGTCAGCATCTCTTCCATATAGAGGTGAATGATAGCGCATCCGGTGGCTAATCTTAACTTTAGGAGATTTCTAAACTGGGAACCCTTTTGGGTTTCTCAGGTTCTGCTTCGAAGCTGTCTTTTATGGTGGACAGGCCTCGAGCTCCCATTAGGCTCCAATTTATGGGTCTGCTCAAGAACCTCCTTATCGAGCTCAATAGGAGGAGCCCGGTTCCCCTTCATGATATCCCAACGATCTCCCAACTTAGTATTAATCCACACCGATTTCGTATATCCGCGAAATTGATGAGCTTCCTCTTCAGCATCATAGATTCTAATCCCCAATTTCTTCGTGGACATATGCGGTCCAAATCTTTCCTTACGAGCTGGAGAATCAAAAGTACACTCATGGATAAAATGACCCACTCGACCGCAGCGAAAGCAGAAAGAAGGGAGGTATTCATATTTCAGGGTGACCCAGAAGCAGCCTGTATCATCACTAGCAACCATAATTTGGGATCGTAATGGCTTGGTGAGATCAATCGTTGTTCTGACTTTCACAAAACATTCAACAGTGTCATGACCAGCAAAGACACCAGCTTCCAGGACATGGCAAAGAGTATTCGCCTCCATCTTTCTCCCAAATTGCTGGGTGCATCAATCCTCTTTGGTGTCCCACAGCTGGACACGTAAAGGAACCATGGCGAGATCATCATACAATTTCTTCGAGATGCTAGGGGTCCATGATCTCAAGTGCGGGATCTTATCTTGAACCAACCATGGCGTTCTCTTAAGAACCCATGTCTTTGCTTCCTCGGAGGGCAAAGTGAATTCGAACAACCCATACTTTGACATCACCACCTTTAATCTCCCCTTCACCTGCCAAAGCGTGAGAACAACATCCCTGATTTCTGTCATGGTTACTCGACTATCTGTAAAGAGACATCCAAGTAGCGAGTGATCATTATAGTACTTGATTGATTGCACTTCTTCCATTGAGAATTGAACCACCTGGTCCGATGAAACATGCCATCTTGGAATCCTTAGCTTAGAGTTGATCTGGGGCTAGGTGCTCCTTCTATTTTCCTTGCAACAGACCAGTTCGTCGTGTAGAAAGTACAAGAGAATCAGTTATAGGGTTGTGGGAATCAAATAAAAGGGAAAACACGTCCCCAAAGTTTGTTGGTTCAAGTCGGAACAGGGGTCTAAGTGGTTTTTGGGGAGGATGACTCTTTTTTGGTAAAAAAGGGATAACGACTGAGGAGTAATCTCCCAAATCTCGGGGGCCAGATCAAGGAGAATAAACTCCCAACAAACCATCGTCGGTCCGGCCACCAGACCTTGAGGTTTCCTGCATTGGTTTTCCGGCCATCAGAGCTACGCACAAGATTGAATCGTCTGGGCTCCTTATCAAAACAGGAAAATCCAACATTATTAAGTTTTTTTATCAATTGTGAGGATTCTGTTTGTTTCACCCTTGGCAATCATAGGTGCCAAATTTCTTTCCAGATTTCCCTCTTCCAGCTCCATAGACGACCGAAGCTTCAATCGCCAAATGGACTTTTTGTATGATCGGCATCGTTTCACCAGATTAAAGACAAAACCGTCATTTTCCAGGATGGGATCGATTTTCCTTTTAAAATTCCTTATTCTGGAATGGCATCTTGGCCTGGCGTAAAAGCCATGTCGATGGACGACATCACGTTCATGGCGACCGGTAGGGGCAGGGACGATGTATCCCCAATCATGTTCCTAGCGTTGGTTCCTCAATAAGCAGTGAGTATTACCGATAACATGGTAATCATAGAGTCGCCGATCTGCCTCCATAGACGGAGGAGAGAGGGGAGAGAGCTCCCCACATATTTTTTTTTTTCCAATTGTAATATATATTAGATGCATGATCTAATTCTTGTCTTGTGAGGCCATAATTTACAAGCGAATTCGAGCCTTGTGTGGGGGGTGTCACAACCTTACTCTCGATCGTGCGGCCCCAGCTCTCAATTTCGTTAGAGCGCTAGGCAGCCTTCTCTCAAACTCACAAGAAAGCAAAGACAAAGAAGTGGGATAACTCTCTAGTGTGTATTACTCTAAAAAATGATGAAATGAGTTACAAGTGAGGGAGATGGCTCCTTATGTAGGCCTCTCCTCATACAAGGCATCAATGCCCCTCATAATGTCCCTCTATCTACATCAATACACCCCATTAAGTCCCCCCATTATGCACTCTATAAATGTCACCCATTATGTGACTCATAAGTGCACCATTAAGCTCTCTATTAAGGTGGAGAATACTAGGAGCATCTCTATGCTACTAGTCTTCCATGCATGCCACATGTGCAGCCGCCATGTTGTCACTTTGTTGGCGCCATGTCATCTGCCACATGTGACATCCTCCCACTTTTTTTGAGTTTGCAAACTTAATCCCAAGACACGAGCTTCCTCGATGCGAAGGAAGTTGTCCGTGACACCGGTATCCACCAAGGCTTTTGAATCCTTGCATGAATTGCGCCAGAACATAGCACCTCCCACGCTTGCTCTCCTTGACGTCTGTCTTCACCGCGCCAAGCTTGCGGATTGAGCCAATCTTGGCCTCCGCCGCCTTGGGATCCTCATCTTGAGCTTCCATGGCCGCCAATCTCGCCTTCCTTGGGCAATCCCGCACTCGATGTGGTCTGTCGCAAAGGAAACAAGATACGGGCTTTGGTTCGTACTTACCCCCTTTGCTCGAACCACCTTGGTGTTGTTGAGTGTGAGAACCCTCATTGAAAGGCTTCTGCTGTTCTCCACCCTTGTTGGGCTTCGAACTCTTCTCGTTGCCGCTGGTCTCTTGCCTTTTGTACTCGACAAAAGAATCCGCCGTGGCCATGGCAGTTGCAAGGTCTTGCACTCCTCGACGTTGCATCTCCATCTTGGCCCATGGTTGCAGCCCATCAAGAAAGCCGTGCATGGCCTCCTTATCCGTGATGTCCGGGATCTCTAGAAGCAGCTCCGAGAATTCTTTCACATATTCTCGAACTCCACCCCTCTGGGTGATTCTTCTCAACTTCGAACGGGCTTCAGACTCCACGTTCTCTGGGTAGAACTGCTTCTTGATTTCTCTCTTGAAATCTTCCCACGTTACCATCACACAAGTACCTCTTTCGACGTCCGCTTCACGTCGCCTCCACCACACCATTGCAACATCGACCAAGTATAGTGGAGCGGTATGAAGTTTTACCTCATCCTCTTGGATGCCGGACGCCTTGAAGTACTGCTCAAGACTCCAAAGGAAGTTCTCTAACTCCCTCGCGTTCCTTGAACCTCCGAAGCTCTTTGGTCTTGGAACATCAGCACGTGGGATGGATTGCACCGGGGCTGGTCCGCTAGCCATGGCTCTCTTCATGAGAGTGACCTCACTCTTGAGGTCTGCAATCTCCTCCTTCACGCCGACCAGCTCAGCCTGGACATGCTCTTTCACAACTTCAATGGCGTTGTTCAAGGATTCGTTGATGGTGTTGTTGATGAGGGCCACAAGCTCTTCTCGTATGCCATTATGAACAATCTCCAAGCTCGACAAACGAGCATTCATACCTTGAACATCACCTTGGACTTGGGCGAAGTTAGCTCCCAAATCCTCGATGGCGGTGACATCTTCAGAAAGCTTCACCTCCATTCTCGAGACTCGCCTCTCTAGAGACTTGAGAGGATCACGAGTGCTCGACGCGCCTTTGGACCTCCCGCCCGGGGTAGGCTCTCTGCCACGCTTCTCATGTCGTCATTGACTTCTGATCCCGACATTTTGGTGAGGCTCTTCCTTTTCGTCTGGCTATTGCTTCTACTTTGCTAGCACAACGACGAAGCTTTTAACGGGGATCTGATACCACTTGTCACAATCTTACTCTCGATCGTGCAACCCTAGCTCTCAATTTCGTTAGAGCGCTAGGCAGCCTTCTCTCAAACTCACAAGCAAGCAAATAACAAGAAAGCAAAGACAAAGAAGTGGGAGAACTCTCTAGTGTGTATTACTCTAAAAAATGATGGAATGAGTTACAAGTGAGGGAGATGGCTCCTTATGTAGGCCTCTCCTCATACAAGGCATCAATGCCCCTCATAATGTCCCTCTATCTACATCAATACACCCCATTAAGTCCCCCCATTATGCACTCTATAAATGTCACCCATTATGTGACTCATAAGTGCACCATTAAGCTCTCTATTAAGGTGGAGATCCTAGGAGCATCTCTATGCTACTAGTCTTCCATGCATGCCACATGTGCAGCCGCCATGTTGTCACCTTGTTGGCGTCATGTCATCTGCCACATGTGACAGGGGTCACTAGACGAAGCTAGTAAACCAAACCTCGTGTCTTGGGATTAAGTTTGCAAACTCAAAAAATTGAAAGGGTTGGGGCTTCGATATGCTAGGGAACTTAAAATGGCGATTTTCACACAACATCCTGCGGTAGAGAATTATGCTCTAGAATACTGAAATTAAAGGGAAGACCCTCATGCAGTTATGCATGATGGGAAGAGAGTTCTGATGAGTTTCATCTTCGCCGATCTCCGTCCAACCACTAGTTCCAAGTCCAACCGCAGTCACACTCACAACTTCGACACCCGAACTTAATAGTTCTATCATCATAAACATTTTTATTACCTTCAACCTCCTCCACAGTTAGTGGCGTAGCCAGAATTTCATCTAAGGTGGGTCCATTAGAAGAAAAATACACTTGGTAAATAATTGTTGTTAACTTCATTCATGACATAATCTTATATTGGAAAATTTTGGTTAATTAAAATAAATTAGCAGTCGAAAGTATGAAGAATATTACTCTATATACCAAACAATTATTAATGATTTAGTTAGTCGTTCTGTTTCGTATGATGTTCTTTCTCAAAAACCATTAGTATCTATAACTCGAGTTGTCAAGAGATATTTAATAATAAATCTTACACCAAACAATAATTCATGATTTAGTTAGTAATTTACTTACAAATGATGTTATTTGTCAAGAATCTTTTTGAATCAATAAATTGAGTGGTTGGAAGAGGTTCAATAATATATCTTATACTATTTACTAGCATGCTCCCTCATATAAGAAAGTCAACTTATAGAAAAATGAAGTTTGCACAAATCTATATATTGTGTACTTAACAAATGAGATCGCCAAGATTCGAATACAAAATCTTTCGATCAACTATTCTCAATTAAATACGCCCTAATTTTCTATATAAATTAACTATTGTACCTAATTGAACAATTTTCCTTCCGAGTCAGGGTGGGTCCCAGAACCCACCCTGTTATACTCTCCTTCTGCCACTAGCCACAGTGGTCATATTAGCAACAGTTTCCAAGCTTTGTTCCTCATCCACATTCATAAGCAATATGAGCTAGAGCTTCAGTCAGAAATCAAAGTTTTCAGCTGCCACCAGCTACTGATGCGACATACGATGAGCTAACCCTAGCTATTGTCAAGAACCAGTTGTTCCCAATAACTCGAGTTGTTGGAAGAGGTTCAATCGTGGATCATATACCACAACACTAACAACTACGAGTTCGTTGCCGCTCGAATCAGTCGTTCTTGATTTTGCATCGGCAATATGCCACACGCGGATGCTAGCAAAATCATTATGGGGAAAGAGGGAGTTGAGGAAGGATGTTCCTGAGAGAGTTATCAAGGCATGAACATAAGCCCATGCCAACCTTTCCATTATGGTGATTGGCGCCCGATGAGAAGGTACGAAAGGGTGATGGAGACGAGTCCACTAGCGGGGAGCGGCCCATGCAGCCCATGAAGAGATTGACATCGCCGAGGACCCACAAGCCCAATAGTCCTAGGTTAATTATTATTAGTCCGTATATTGTTCAGTTCTGTAAGAATTAAGCAACCGTATTTATAGTCATTGTGATGGAATGAGAACGATTATCAATTCTCTAAAAAAATAGACCTCGAGAGCATTTCTCTCATTTCTTGAGTACTTTTTCTCTCTTCTCTATAAGAGTCCTTTCGTCTCCCCCTGGTTGAGGGATGTCTCTTGTTTTTCCTTTGTCTCCTTCTTGGATCTTAATAAGTTTTCTTTAGCGGCTTCTCACTTTTATTCATCTCCTTCATCTGGGTTTTCTTTTTGTTAGCTTCCTTTTGTATGGTGACGCGGGTTGGCAGTGGTTGTCTTGCGGTCCCCAGTTTTTCACTATGAAAGTGGTGAGTTACAATGTTAGAGGTCTGCGCGACCCAAAGGCAATAACAAACTTAAAAAGATTGATCTGCATTGTGCAACCTCAGTTGTTTTTCCTCATGGAAACTAAATTGAGTGATGGAGAGAGGGAAAAGCTCAAGTTAGATTAGGGCTTTACGCGGGAGTTAGGTTTTGCAGCAAAGGAACGGGCTGGAGGCTTGTGCTTACTCTAGAATGATAACATTATTGTGGACAAATTATCATTGTCTTTTTATCATATTGACGTGGTAGTCAACTACCCGGAAGAAGGCCCACCTTGGCGATTAACAAGTTTTTATGGGCGACCGGACAAGAATGAACGTCATTTATCGTGGGAGCTTCTAATAGTTCTAAGAATTTTAATCAAGTCTTAACAACAAGGGATAAAAGTGGAGGGCGACAGATAGAGGAAAACAGAGTTGGCCTTTTTTCGGGAATCTCTTGACTTTTGTGGTCTTATTGACTGTGGAGGGATATCCCTACACATGGGAAAATCGCATATATGGTGCGGCATATATTGAAGAAAGAATCGATCGATGCTTTGCTACTTTTGAATGGTAACAACAGTTTGATCTCAGCAAGGTTACACATGTTGAATGGGAGGGATAGGATCATTACCCCATTATGTTGGACACAAGAGGAATCGAAGAAGAAGATATCAAGTGTGGATGGTATTTTAGGATTGAGCCTTTTGGGATCAAGGATGATGAGTGTAAGCAGATTGTTGAACAAGAGTGGACAACTTACACTGAGGCTAATATCCTCACAAACTTGAGGCATTGTGAAGAGAAGCTTCTGGTTTGGAGTAAGGAGAAGTTTGGGAGCATAAAGAAGAGGCTTAGTTACATTGAAAAGACCCTTAAAAAGCTTAGAAGATACCCTAAAACAGAGGAGATCATGGCACAAAGAAGGGGTCTCCAGGCCGAGAAGATGGATTTAATATGGAAGGAGGAGAACAAATGGAGCCAAAGATCCATAATAGATTGGATACAAGAGGGGGATAAAAGCACTAAATTTTTTCATGCTAAAGCGTGAGTTTAAAGGAAAAGGAATACAATTAAATCTATAAGGGATCAAATGGGAAGACAGTATAGAGGACAAGAAGAAGTCACGGCTTATATCAACCTTTACTTTATGGATTTGTTTAAAAAGGCTTCCCACTCAAGTACTAACAAGGTCATCAATCCTATTCAGCGGAAGGTTACTGAAGAAATGAATATCTCCCTTCTAGCACCATTTAAGGCAGAAGAAGTTGAAAGAGCCCTTTGGCAAATGGGGCCAACGAAGGCTCCGGGTTCGGATGGTTTCTCGGTAGGTTTTTTTTCCAAGAAAAACTGGAATGTGGTAGGTCCAAAAATTACTACAGCTATCTTGAGATTCCTTGAGGAGGGTTATCTGCCAAGTGAAATAAACCAGACTCTCATTGCATTGGTTTGTAAAGTTAAAAAGCCGGAGGAAGCTAAAGATTACAGACCGATCAGTTTGTGCAGGGTCATCTATAAATTGTTGTCAAAAGTTTTAGCAAATAGGCTAAAGGTGCTTTTGCTAGAAATAATCTCTGAGACGCAGAGTGTGTTTGTCCCCAGGCGAGCCATCACAGATAATATTATTGCCGCGTTCGAGTGTTTTAATTTTATGAAGAAGTGTAATAATACCAGGAAAAGCTATTTTGCAGCTAAGTTGGATATGACAAAAGCATATGACAGAGTGGATTGGGATTTTCTGGAAAAAGTTATGAGGAAGTTGGGTTTTCAAGAACAATGGATAAGACTCATTATGATGTGTGTGACTACTGTGACCTATTCAGTTTTGGTTAATGGTCATCGATCTAGTGAGTTCTCTCCATCTAAAGGGATAAGATAGGGTGACCCTCTGTCACCGTACATGTTTCTGCTATGTACAAAGGGCTTTTTCAGATATGATGCAGGTGGCCGAGGAGAAAGGGGAAATTCATGGTATCACAATCACCAAACGTGCACCATCAATTTCTCACCTTCTCTTCGCCGATGACAGTATGATCTTTGCAAGATCAACAGTTGAGGAGGCAAAAAAGCTAAAGGATATCTTAAGGGTTTATGAAAAAAATCTGAACAGCAGATCAATCTCACAAAATCGGAGCTTACTTTTAGTAAAAAAGTTCAAGAAAACCGAAAGAGAGAGATTAGCAGCATTCTGGGAATTAGATAAGTGGACAAGAACGAGAAATATCTAGGTCTTCTAACTATGGTTGGAAGGTCGAAGAAAACTATCTTTGCAAGCTTTGAAGAGCGTGTTCAAAACAAGCTTACGGACTAGAAATCAAAAATAATGTCACAAGCAAGCAAGGAGATACTCATAAAAGCAGTGGCCCAGGCGCAAATGCTCTATCCTATGATGGTATTCCAAATACCAGAAGGTACACTTGATGAAATACAAAGTATGATCTCGATCTTTTGGTGGGGGCAAAAAGGAGTTGAAACCAGAATACATTGGGTAAACTGGGACAAACTATGCTATGAGAAAAAGGATGGAGGAATGGGATTCAGGGATCCGATGGCGTTTAACAAGGCTATGCTTGCTAAGAAGGTGTGGAGCTTAATGAACATAACCGAATCCCTTGTGGCATAGCTTCTGAAAGCCATATATCATCCTACTTTGGATATAATGAAGGCCAAAGTGGGTTCGAGTGCAAGCTATGTCTGGAGGTGTTTGATGGGGGCAAGAGATTTGCTAGAGGAAGGGCTGAGATGGAGGGTCGGAAATGGGGAAGAGATTAAAGTGTGGGAAGACAAATGGATTCCAGATAAAGATGGCTTTAAACATGATATTGCTTACCAGAACGATAATTCATCTATCTATGTAGTTGCTCTAATTGATAAGGAATCATGCTCCTAGGACATGGAGGCTATTAATATGTTATTCTCAGAAGAAGACCAGGTTCATATTGCAAAAATCCCTCTCCGGGATCATAAAAAAAGGATGAAAGGACTAGGAGCCGGCTGGTGAATAAGTCGAAGAAAGCTGGTCCCGGATGTCCATACTGCGACTTGCTTGAAACATCAGAACACGCCTTGAGGGACTGCAGCTGGGTAAGTAGATTGTGGAGGAAATCACTAGAGAGAGATTGTTTTGAGGTCAGCACAAATCTATCTGTCCCGGACGGGTTATGCGTCACTTTTGACCAATTTATGGAGGACAAAATTGTCAGATTTGCTGCAATTCTCTGGTTCATGTGGAAAGAAAGGAACAACCATTGTTTTAACAACCAAAAGATGGATGAAGATGAGATAATCTCCAGAGCTATATGTTGGGTGCAGGATTACCTGGAAACTCATAATCTTCGACAGGAAGATCTGCATGCTCATCCCCTTGGATCGACAAGGTGGTCTCGACCTCCGGAAGGATTTTATTAGTTAAATACTGACCCTGGTGTTATTGGACGGGAGTGGATTGGCCTGGGCGGAGTTGTAAGAGATTGGAATGGGAGTTTTCCGTTGGGGTTCGTCAGAAGGGAAAGGGGAGTTTGCCATCCATAGGAGGCAGAGGCTCGGGCAATTTTTGAGGGAATCAAAGAACCTCTTAGCAAAGGTTTTATGTTGTTAATGGTGGAGAATGACTGCAAAAATCTTATCAACAAGTTGGAGAAGAAAGAAGTCGACAGAACTGAAATTGGCACCATCTGTGAGAAAATTTTGGATTTGGCGGATACAGCTGAGGAAGAAGGTCTGGTTAGAATGGAAGGAGCAATTAAGTGGGCTTTTACCCCCAAGAAAAAATAATGAGGCCGCCCACAAGATGGCACATCTTCAGGCCCCATGGAATTCTACTATATTATGGACGGACATGCCACCTCTATGTTTAACTGATTTGCTTGCAAATGATGAGAACATGGGTCATAGGAGCCTAGTGTAATTTCTCTTTTAATGAGAGTTCTACAGATTCCTATAAAAAATCAATTTCCTAAAACAAACCCTAAAAGATTCTTTCTACGCCTACTAGGAACCAACTCTTGGTTCGTGAGTTACGAACCCATCAAATTGGTATCAAAGTGATGGCCTTGGACGCAGGGCCGGAGTTGGACGTGGGTGCTTGCGTCTACACCTATGGTGCTGTGACAAAAGGCATGACTATGGCATGTTTCGACATGACCCAGGAACTAAGGGCCCTCATTCACAATTTGACTGGATAACTAAACAAGCCGTAACACTCGGGAATGAGACCCTCTAGCTCCTTAGTTAGGTTTAATTTGTAATTCCCTTTGGTTTGATTCACTATTTATTAGACTGCGAAAGATCCAAAAATAGTTTGGAATCTGTTAAGCTGACCAAGCCCTTTTAGAAAAATACTCGGCAGACGACTAGCCTTCACCAGAATAGACTACTAAGGAGATTCACACAGAATTCCAAAACTTGAAACAGATTCCAGTACAAAGCAGTGAATTGACTGACTCTCGTACAATCAATTCAATCTTATTGATTTAAGAAACTCTAACAACCTATTCAGATTCTATTGACTCAATAAACACTCTTCAATCGATTAAAATCAATCAATATATCATCCCAAAAGTCATTACAATCTAGATCCCTAACACATGGAACTAGGGTTCTTCATAACCAAGTGAGAGAAATGTATACTCCATAGACAAAGAGAGGAAAACCAAAATCAAGTAGTCATAGTCATAAAGATGAGAATAATATGCTCTGGGATGTCAATATTCACTCCTGGGGACGCAATATGGGTTTCAATGGTGAGAAATCCACTCCAAATAGCTCCTAGGGTTTGTTCTTTGTCATTTTCTCTCTCTAGAACTATGTTTTTTTTCTCCAAAAAGTCGAATCCCTGAAAATATGAGCTCCTCTCAAATAAAACCCGCACAGGTGCAAAAACATGGCCTCTAGCCCCAAAAATTCGTTCGTGTTTAATCCGAAGAGGCCTTGTTTTAAAATGACGATTCTGTGAAGCGCAAAGAAAAAACCTGGCCTCTAACACAAGGTCGTGTTTTTCACATAGGAGGGCGTGTTTTTCATCAGCTCTGCTGCCCGGTTTTCGCAATCGACCTTCTTTCACCTCGAAATGTCCCTAAACTAGGACCTGAAATATGACCAAAGAACACAACCTAGCATAAAATATGTAACACCCCGAATTTTGGGTTAGGTTCGAACGTTGGTAAGTAAATGGCTCGGTTGGGGAATTGAATAATTTTAATTAATTAATTATTAGTTAATCCTAAATAGGGGTTAATTGATTTTGATTAATTAAAGTTGAAGAAAAGAAAGGGGATTAAATTCCCAAACCGTAAACCCTATACCCACTCCCCATCTCCCCACACCCCCATCATATTCCCCTCTAGGTTGTTGATCCCCCTCCCTCACATATAAAAAAAAGAGCTGCACTTTGATTGGCAGCCACTCGGGTTCGCAAAAGGAGCGCTCGACGAGGTATAAGGAATAGATGACCGAAGATGCCATTACGGTAACGGAAAGATGATGTCGGATCCAAAGTGGACAAATGGTTTTGGCTACGAGTAACTACCGAGGAAGGGCGCCGCGAGAAGGGTTGACGAGGAAAGGATTGACGGAATTGTAAATTCCACCGCACGCACCTTGCTTGATTTCCGTGTGGACTATAATGCAATAATGAAACTAGGTAAGCTCCAAATCCCTCCCTCGGTTGTTATTGGGTTATCAAGGATGGTCAATTAAATGAATAATTGGTGGGAGACAAAGGTTAACGTTGCAAAATCAATGGTGGGTTTATTTAGGTTGTTGCAAATGGGAAAAAGCAGAAGTATTAGTATGGCCAAAGTGACATGGCAACTAAATTGGTGGGACTATTATAATTTGATGAAGGGTTTAAACCCGATTCAGTAATATGGAACTCGATCATCAGTGGGTTTTTACAGTTGTAATTGGAGTAAGGGTGCTACATCAGAGGAATCAAGGAGTCATCTTTTCGAGGTGAGTGTAAATGGGGTAAAATCTCTGTCGCAGGTCTTTTAGTTTATGCTTTTCGTTCAAGTTATTAATTAGTTAATTTTTGAGTAATGTTCGATATGTGTGTGAGGCATCCCACCGCCTGTAAGGGTGGAGGCACGTGTTGTGCTATGTACGAATGTATGGATGTATGATTGTAATAGTTGGTGAATGGTAAGAGGAACCCCCGGGCGGTTGGGCCACTACTGGACGCGGTAGATGGTCGGATCACTGCTGGACGGCGAGACGTAACGCAGCAATTGATCGAGTATGTTGGGGTCACTACTGGACGGCGAGACGTAATGCAGTAGTTGACGGGCATGGACTGGACGGTGAGACGTAACGCAGTGCCATTGCCGAGGTTGGGTATACAACCGGACGGCGAGACGTAACGCGGTTGGCATACTAGGCTAGGGACACCGGACAGCGAGACGTAACGCGGTGGTCCTTTGTGTTGGTGTCTTTGGATTAAGAATATAAGTAAGGGAATTCTAAAGATAAGATATGTGTAGAGATCTCTTATAGACTGTTTGATAGTAAAGTTTAAGGGATGAAAGTGAGAACGACTTTCGTCTAAGGAAGGCATTCCCCTAATAATGTGTTTAGTAAGGAGTTTGGCTAGAGCAAAGACCTTAGGAAGTAACGATGAGACTGACCCTTTCTCACTCACCAGGTTGAGGATAGTCTAACAGAAGTGGATCATGAGAAGAAGCAGGGCGAGGCGAGCAACAGTACCAGCGTCGTCAGGATATCGGAAAGCTCGTGAGGAGTCAAGTTAGATTAGTTAATTATTCTATTTCATGGTTATTAGTATAAACTGGAGATTCTGTGTTAAGTCGTTTTAAGTGTTTGAGATTGAGAATTTTTTCCAAGTGTTGGCGCTTTTCGTTAAAAATTCTTAAATGATGTCGGTTTGTTTATTTTAAAATGTGGTTTGGGTTGCTCCGGAGTAACCGGTTTTTGGTTTGAGTTATGGTTTGGTTTTTCGAAAATATGGGGTCGTGTCAAAATAGGCCTAGGAACGATCAATCGCTAATCTAAATGATCAAGAAACAAAGGAAAAAACATGTGCAAATGAGATGTTATCAAATTACTGCACACTTAATAGTTTGCTTGTCCCCAAGCCAACAAAGTCATACACAAGGTAAGCTCAAAACATTTTAACAATGCAAACTTTGGGGACATATCATATAGGCACAAATCACGTGAATCGTATTGGCTTTTAGACATCAATACATGAACAACAACAACAACCTGGACAACAACCACATATTACATTCGAGAGCAGCAAAATCGGGCAAAGGAAAATTCTCCCCTCTGTTCACCAACCAACATAGACTTGACTCAACCGCCCATTAAAGATAGTCACCTCATGCATAAAATTCAAGACATCAGAATCAAAACCAAGCAATCTAGGTCCTCTCCGGGGTATATAATATGAAAATTGAATCACTCACTCTCGACCAGCGGGGCCAGGACGAAATTTGATGTAAGATGTGCATACGCGTACTCTCAATCCCTAACGTCTCTTCACCATGACGACAACCTCTAAATGCTAGAGTTCACATATCGGATGTCACCACTAACTAGTCAGGAGGTCTTAGACATGGGTTCAGATAACTGGCTAGGGTCTTGGACATGGGGAAAAAGGCCTTTTATGTGGTGAAAGATTTCATATCACAAGGTTCCATAGTTCCAAAACAAAACACATAAACATTCATTCAAACCATTTACTTTCTTTCTGCTATTCCACATTAATCAAGTTCTTTAGAGCACAAGAGTGAAGGAGGTCACAACATGTTAGTATTTCAAAGCCAGGATGCTAAAAAACACTATATAATGAGCATGATTCTGATTTTTGTGGTGGCACTCTTATGCTTTCTGTTTACCTATAAAAAATCAGCTTGTACCACATCGATTAACTACAAGAAATTCAATGGATTTATAAGGCCAGCTAAACATCAATAATTAAAAGAGCTAGCTAGGACTTGTTGGGTTGGCTTTTTGAGCCTAAGTGGCCAAACCCCTTCTTCTCTATACGATGGCCGACCCGTCTCCGTGGCCCCCATAACCGGACGATGCGTCCACCCCTTGGTACAAAATTTGGTTCCCAAAAACTAAGTTGGAAACAAGGCGACACAATGGGGTGCCAAACGACCGGGTACCAAGGAGGATACCAAATGGAAGGCCATCCAAAAACTAAGTCTGGAAACAAGACGGCACAACGGGGTGCCAAACGACCGAGTACCAAAAAGGGGGCCGCCCAATTGGAGCCAAAGGGGTATCAAGCCGACAAGGCAGGCTTGATACCAAAATACACAAAAAAATGGCTAAGTATGGAGCTAACAGGGTACCAAGCCGGCAAGACAGGTCTACTACCCAAGCATGAAATTTGGCTAAGTCTTAAGCCAAGAAGATATCAAGACGACAAGGCAGGGTCTGGTACCAAAGTATAAGAAAATTGGCTAAGTATAGAGCCAAGACATTATTAAGCCAACAAGACAAGGCTAGTACCCAAGTATGAAATTTTCCCAAGTATGGAATCCCATGGCCAGGGGGCGGTACCAGGGCTTGGTACCAAGACATGAGGCTGGTACCCAAGTATGAAATTTGCTCAAGTATGGAATCCCATGGCCAGGGGCGGTACCAGGGTTTGGTACCAAGACATGAAAAGCATGAATTTGGCTAAGTGTGGAGCTAAAGGGTTACCAGGTCGGCAAGGCAGCCTCAGTACCAAGACCCCGACAAGGTACCAAGTCGGCAAGACAGGCTTGGAAGCCAAGCAAGGCGACAGGGTACCATGACCCCAAGGGGCCATGGCCAGGGGGCGGTACTAAGGCTTGGTACCAAAACATGAGGCTGGTACCCAAGTATGAAATTTACCCAAGTATGGAATCCCATGGCTAGGGGGCGGTACCAGGGTTTGGTACCAAGACATGAAAAACATGAATTTGGCTAAGTATGGAGCTAAAGAGTTACCAGGTCGGCAAGGCAGCCTCGGTACCAAGACCCTTACAAGGTACCAAGTCGGCAAAACAGGCTTGGAAGCCACCTGACCCCAAGGGGGTATCAAGCCGGCAAGACTGACTTGGTGGCCAGGCAACAGGGGGCCAAGCCAGGTACCAACTAAGAGAGTCATACATAAACTAAGTCTGGATATCAACCCGACAAGATAGACTTGAGAGCCAGGCATCATGGTATCAAGCCAACAAGACAAGAAATTCGACTAAGCCATGGTGGCTAGCTGAGGTAGCCAACCCAACTAGGTACCAAACAGCCATGGATGGATCGGCCAGGATGCAGAGCTGAGCCCTTTTGGGGCTATATGGAGACAAATTCCCAATACAGGCTTGGTATCACCTTAACGGGGTACCCGACCGGCAGGGTGCAACTTACCAACTTGACGAGTCTACAAAAACTAAGTATGGAGACCAAGGCAGAGGCTTGGTGGTATCAAGCTGATGAGACGGCTTGGTAACAACCAATAAGTTAATGAGGAGTACTTGGTGTCATGAGGTGGTAGCGATCTCAAGAGCGGGGATTCGTCAAGTAGTCGAGGGTGAGATCAAGACCTCATCATGGTTCATGGAGGCTAAGGGAAGAACCTCAACCCCATCCAGTCATGACAGGGAGACAAGGCTCAACACCAACCCAACCCGGCATCGAGGCCATCAAGTACCCACCAGCGCCAAGACGGAACAAGGGCCCCAAGGCGACGGTTACCAACTAGTCACCAAAGCAGGACAAGGGACCCCGAGGCGGTTTGGAGCAAGAGGCCAACTAGCAGTTACTATGGCATTTACCAAGGCATTTACACCCGGTGGCTATAAATAGGAGAAACAAAGACGGGAAAAGGGTTCCACAACCAAACATTTGACACCACATGTCAAACTTATCTTTTCTCTGCAATGTAGCCATAGCTGTAGCTTTTAGATTTTGGAGCTCTCACTGAACCGCCATAGGAGTAGAAGTAATTTAACTTAGTTTTATCAACCATCAAAATCATCAAACACCCTCGTTCGAACATTGTTCGGAGAGGTGTGAATCGTGTTATTAATCATTGTTCAAGAAGTCAAGGTGCATTTATTGAGTTCAAACACAAGTTTTTCCTCGCCGGAAAACACTTTCATTTGTTTCTTTTCCTTTTTTTCTTGAGAGAACCACCACTTCTGCATATTCTTTAACCCTTGCAAACACATGTCCAACTTTTAAGAACTACCTCCAACCCTCATCTTATTTCCAGCAGAAAACATGAAAAAACCACTTGGGAACCTCAAATAGTTGCAAAGAGCTGACTAGGGGACACCAGGACAGTCAATTCGGTTGTGGGCTAATCCTATGCTTCTATCATCTTGACTAGTGGCAACGTGAATGCTACACATCATGGAGAGGGATCTATCGCACAAGAAAGAAACGAGCAGACTCAAATCTCACATGGTTACCTATACGCTCTATCGTTCATTCTGATCCCCTGAACTAGATGCATAAACGGCTGTAGAAAACAAGTGATTAATCCACGTCGCAGTTGATAAGCAGACAGTTGAAAAACTAAACCCCTACACAACTCTACTACACGTCTCAGTCATCATTATAGGTTGTCCTAGTCAAGAACAACAAGTTGTCACGCATCGATGTTAACGGCCAATCGATTCACCACATAAACCACAGTGCCAATATAATCATGTAAACATATGTGGTTGGAGCCCTCAAATCTCGAGATTTGGACAGTGGAATAGGCTCCAAGCACACAAACATATTTCTGATAAGCATAAAGAACCCCCCCCCCCCCCCACACACACACTTAGGGTCGACATTGCCCTCAATGGAGCAGAGGGAAAGAGAAAGGGAACGATATTATTGAGAAGTAACGACGGGAGGCGGCAGCTAAAGAGGGGACCAGTCAGGAGAAGGGAACTGGAAGGAGACCAGTTTAAAAGCACAGAGCTAGAGGCAACAAAACACACTGAGTGATAGGAGAAAACAAACCATAGTTCCATATGCACAATCCCAAAGAAAACAACAGAAAAGAAAAACGACACGAAGTCGGAGTCTGAAAATGAAACAAAACACACAAAGCAGTAGCCCATGGTGGGATCAATCAGAGCCAGGATAGTCGCCTCCACCAGTCTGGTAGTCGTCATCCTCCTGTTGCCCGGGAGCAGAAGGTCCTCCACCAGAAGTGGAGGCCCCGGACGAGTAGTGGAAAGGAACATAGGGGTCACCGAGATGATGGAGGATGAGCTCCTGAGTGGACTCAATGCGGTCAAGGCGGGCGTCCAAGGGGCCAAAGGGTGTGGCCATCGGATGCGGATGGGGCTCACGAGCTTGAGCAGGGCCAGGCAATGCAGGTGGCTGCTGTCCTAAGGGACCTCTGGGGGAGGAGCATCATAGTGGCCGTCCTCATTGAAGTACGCAAAAGGTGGGTCCTGCTGGGTCATGGACAACCAATGTTTAAGAGAGAGGGGGATGGTGCGACCCACATGTGTGCACCCCAGTGCCACCGGATCAAAGCCGAGGCGCCGAGCAAGGCGAGTGACAAAGGCTCCGCAATGAACTTCAATGATGTTCGATCTAGTACTGATGTTGTGTAAGGTCAACATAAGAGAGTTTCCCACATGAATAGGGTGGGAGTATGCAAGACTGGTGAGAATGGCCTGATGACTGTTGTTAATGGCACCCAGGCTGCCGTGTTGTGGGAGAATCCCATGGCTCAAGACATTATGGAGTAGCCTGAAATCATGATGAAGCATACTCGCCTTGGCATGGCGCCTCTCGAAAGGAAGACCCAAACAACACAGGTGAGGGTATGATGCCACTACTGATCTAGAAAGTGTCGCGAATGTGGTCTCAGTTGGAAGGAGAGCGTATCAGGGACTTTGAACAAAGGCCTCAGAGTAAAATCCCATGGCGATGCTGAACTGGGTCAGAGACATAGTATGGAGCTAGCCACAAAGGCAAAATGTAATCCCATTGGACAAGGAGAATTTCTTCAAAGCTGCCTTGGTAAATGTGAAAAAACCACGAACTCCAATGTGAGCTCCCTATATATGATCTCATTGAGCACAAACACGACCCGCCAAGTTCCATCACCGAGCATGGCATTAGTGGAGTCGAAAACCGAAACAGAGCACATTGTGTCTCAATCCAAACAACGAGACTCACCAAAAGGTATCGAAGAGAGCAGCGTAAGCTGCTCTTGAGCCTCCAGGTTGAGCTACATGATGTCGAACCAGTCAAGCTGATTGGGAGACTCAACTGGTTCGTCAGGCTTGAACCTGCATTGTCCGCGACCGCAACCCCCACTGCTTGCCATGACTGCTTTGTCTATGTCGATATATCCTGCATAGACGATACACAAGGCAGCCAACTAAGAAGCAGTCCACAAAGCCAACAAAACCATTAATAAGATAGCAAAGGGACGAAAATCATGCTAAAGGGTGCAAAACCACCGACAAGCACCCCAAGGTCAGCGAAGATGTCAAGAAAGAGCACTCAAGAGCTAAATGAGATCAGACACAAGCACATTCAAAGTCGTAAAGATCATTGAGGCCTTCTATCGAACACATGGTGGGCATAACTCAACCGTAAGCGCAAAACACACAATTCACCCACCAAAATTCCTCTCATTCTGCATACACGAGTAGAACATGCTACGACGCAATGGAGTAGCGGTTTATTGGATGATTCCCCTCTAATATTGTACCAATTTTCGAAAATGCCCAATTTTCCTAACCAAGAACCCTAGAATTTGATTTTTCAAGAGGAAGAAATAATTGACGCTCAAACTTACCTGAAAACACAAGAATAAGACTAAGGAAAGGGGAGGGGAGGGGTGGAACGTCGCGGAGCCGCCTAAAAAAGAGTCGTCGATGGCGCTTAACTACAGCCAACGGGAAGAGGAAGGAGCAGGCGGCGGCTCCAGGGCGGGACAACGGTGGCAAAGGGTGTACAAGGGTCGTTGGGGCAGGCGAAGGCAGATGCGCGGAGTCGACGGGGTGGGCGATGGCGGTGGCGGGGAGCGAACAGGGTGGCGGAGGGCGGAGAAGGGTCTTTGTAAAGGTATTGGTAGCACTTGTAGGAGAGGTTGGGGAAGAAATGAAAACACAAGGGGAGGGCCGAGTTTTAAAAATGTGAAAACATGGCCAACCCTGCCCCTGCTTCTTCCTTTCGTGAAGGCAACTGAAAAACCCGGTCTCTGTGGGAAAAATATGGGCGGGTTTTGGGTGTTGGAAGCCGAGTTTTAAAACTCACCTCCTGCCTCCTTCGCTGGCTACACTAAAAAAAACCCGGGCGGGTTTTTTAGAAAGGGAGGCCGTGTTTTTTTATGGAGATTCAGCCCACCTCGTTGTAGTTTACCAAAACCAAGCTGATACTCACGACATACGGAAGAAAGGTGATGAACACATGGTACCCGGGGTCACGGAAATTGATACACCCTAACCCGGTCGGGTACTAATTTTACTAAAATGCCCTTGAAAAATAAAATACTCAAGCTTAAACTGCAGCGAGAAAGGTTTCATAAATAAAATACTGAAAACACTCTTGTAGTTTAAAGCAATGCCCTAACAAGTGGGCAAATGAAACTCAAACTTCAAAATCTTAAACCGATCTCCAGCCTATACTCTTAACCATAAAAAGTAATAACTAAATAGTCTCAACTACTGATGCTACTCATACGAGACTCTGACTAGACATCCTCCAAGATGCTCGTATCGATCCCTCTAGCTGGCTGCCCTCGAACTCGTTGCTCTCTAACTGCTCTTCTAGCTCCTCCTCTAACTCTTCAAACTGGTGAGTGAGTTGAGGTCAGTCTACGCCTTTACTTTTAAAATCTAGTACCTGATTATTTTACTTCAGACACTTAACTTAAACTTGTGATGTTGTTTGTACTTCCACTCTAAAAAACCTTAATTCTTGAAACAGTGCGGGAGCTAAATTTACTCTCCCTTCTTAAAACTCAAATCTTGCCTTAAACTTTTGACTGACACGTGGATCTCTCATTAGCTAGTCCGGTTGCCCAACTCATACGTATGAGAAGCCATCCAGGCTTTCCTTAAACTTTAAACTTAGTTAGGGGAGTCGTAATAATTCATCCCTTAACATCTTAAACTTATCGTGGTGGCTCTTCACCCCGATTCTGAAGAGCACAACTGATGCTCATCTTAAAAGTCTCAAGAGCATAACTGCTGCTCTATCTCAAAATCTCAAATGGCAATGGACTGACGCTAATGACTAAAAACTCTTAAAACGATTTCACCTTCTTGAAGGTGAAGTACCTCATAAAAAGAACTTGTTTCATAACTTTAACAACCACTCATAAATAATGTAAAGCTTTAAAGTAGATGACACACATTTTCCTCAAATCATAGCTCAAACAAAGCACAAAAAATCAAACCTTAGACATAATCAAGCAACAGTAACCACCTCGGTAAAATACTTAAAATCATAATACTTAAAAGAATTCGTAAGGCGTAGAATTTACCCCTTTACACTAGATGTGTGACTAAACCTCGATATAAGCTTGTTGGACTTCGATCTCCTTTTCAAAATGTCTCGGCAACTCGATCTCCATGCCTGGTCATGTCTAGCAAGTATGGTTCCCGTAGCGCAGGCAACAACGCTTTCAATCACCACAGCTCATAGCTTTCGTATCCTTTCCTTCCGTGTCCAATTAATCACTCGTCGTCGTCAGTTGTCGAATGAGATTTCCCCCTCTGCATCAAGACCCTTGTGCAAGGCCTTTATCTCACTCTCTCATCCATCGGCCTCAGCTGAAATGGCATGGCGTCCAGCTTGTTGGGGATTAGCGAAAATGTGGTATGATTTAGGATCAACACAAAAGAAACATATGGTGTTTAATCACTCAAATTAAGATTCACTCAAACAAACAAGGCCTTAACTTTTGGCACTTGTTTTCACAAACACACACAGAGACTTCCTTTCTTTTCTTTTTGTTTTGTATGTCTCTGACTTCCATACCCAAACATACTACACATATATATTGTAATGAGTAGTAGAGAAAGACAAATAACTATAATAAACAATTGGGAACAAATCATTTATGTAGATGGCCCTTTGCATACACTCTCCCCGTTGCTCCATGTGCAAGACTTGATAATGGAAGTGACCATTGGTCCATCCAATTTATTTCATGCATTGTCATGTCTTCCTCTTCTTTATTGGCAACACCAAGTAGCTTGATTGGATTGTGAAGCCTTCAATCAACTCCCCACGCATAAATGCAATAGGTAGCTTTTCATGTCAATGTCTTGTTGGTAAAAGGTTGAGATGTCTCTTCTTATGCAAATAGGTTTCCTCTTGAGTTGATTGTAGTGGGACATTTTGATAATGACAATTATTATTGCAAATTACCATTCAACATCCCTCTCTTTCTCGTTCTTTTTGGTTTCTCACGACATCCCTATGTCCGTACGGCTGTTGATTATCACTCTAGTGAGCTTTCAATTGTCCATTACCGCCCTCCTCTCTCCAGCTAGGTGCTTGCTCGTTATCTCTCTATTGATCTCTCTCTTTCATGCTTGATGTATAGCGGCTGGTTTTGGAGATGAAGAACGTAGGTAGGGAGGAATTTAGTTTGGCCGCAACAATTCTTCCTCTATTCACTTAATATATACCCCTAACCTTAAAACCCTAAGGTAACTCTTATTGTAATATATAATTATTATAATTATATCTACTAAAACGTAAACCCCAATAGCCTATGGATATGACAATTCACGGGCTTTGTTGATCTTGTTACTAAATTCAGCCTGTGCAGACTTAATCTCAGTTTGGTTTGAGTTCTCGTACTAATCATTGACCAAATCCATAAATTTATGGTGATTGAACCTAATTTAAAATTTGGGGTGTTACAAAACTGAACCAAGACAGACTTACCACACACAAACTAACTCAAAACAAACAAAAATAAATAAATAATGGAAAGAAATGCAAACCGTGGTGGGGTTGCCTCCCCATAAGTGTTTTCTCTCACTTCTTTAGCTAGACGCGGACAGAGGAACTAAGGGTCCTCGAGCTTGATCAGAAGCTCTGCACGCTTCACATCACCTCCCAGATACAGCTGGTCGTTCACCTTAAATGGCTTAGCTTGAACATTGCTAATCTCCACCGCACCATGCGGGAACACTTGGGTGATTGTGAACAATCTCGACCACCGCGACGCAGCTTGCACGTGAAGAATTTCAGGCGTGCATTATAGAGCAAAACGCGATCACAAAGCTGAACTCTTTCAGGCCCTTCAACCGAGCGTCGTGAAGACGCTTGGTTCTCTCCTTGTAGAGTCGGGTATTCTCATAGGTGTGGTAACGCCATTCTTCCAACTCCCACAACTGAAACTTACGTTCAGTACCGGCGACACTCAAATCCAGTTTAGTAGCTTAAGGGCCCAAAAGGCCTTGTGCTCTAGTTCAACAGGCAAATGACAAGCCTTTTCATAGACAAGCTGACATGGTGAAGTACCAATCAGGGTCCTGTAGGTTTTCCTATATGCCAAGAGAACATCATCGAGCTTGGTGGACCAATATTTGCGAGACTGATCCACCGTCTTTTCAATTATGCGCTTAAACTCCCGGTTTGTCAACTCGGCTTGACCATTCGTCTGGGGATGGTAAGCCAGCGACACCTGATGCTTAACATCATAGCGAGAGATGAGTTTAGCGAATTGCCCTTGAAAATGGGTTCTTATATCACTTATAATGGCTCGAGGTGTCCCGAACCGGGAGAATAGCTGCTTCAGAAATGAGCAGACACGTCTTGCATCATTGGTGGGCATGGCTTGAGCTTCTTCCCACCTTAACATGTAGTCCACCGCAACCAAGATGTACAAATTACAAAACAATGAAGGAAATGGGCCTATGAAATCGATGCCCCAAACATCAAAAAATTCACAAACAATAGAAATATGTTGGGGCATCTCATCCCGGGAAGAAATGTTACTTGACCTCTAGCAGCGCTCGCACTATCGTGCGAAGGCATCAGCATCCTTGAAGAGCGAGGGCCAGAAGAAGCCCAACTACAGCACCTTCTGCATAGTGTGGTTCCCGCCATGATGATCTCCCGTCGGTCTCTCGTGACATTGAAACAGGATGCCTCCCATCTCGTGCTCAATGACGCATCGTCGGATCACGCCATCTACTATAATCTTGAAGAGGTAAGGATCCTCCCAGAAGTAATACTTCAGGTCGGAGAAGAACTTGCACTTGGTGTGAGTGGTCATCCCCCCAGGCAACTATTTACCCACCAGATAATTGGAAAAGTTAGAATATCAAGGGGTGATGCTCTCCAACAAGAACAACGCAAGCAATCGCTCACCCGGGAAGGAGTCGTTGATCTCTTCCACAAAGTTTTCCGCTGGTGTAGCACCCAAGCGTGAAAGATGATCCGCAGCAACATGCTCGGCTCCCTTCTTGTCTCGGATCTTGATGTCAAATTCCTGCAGAAGCAGGATCCAGCGGATGAGCTAGGCTTGGCATCAGCCTTGCTCATCATGTAGCGAATGGCGGAGTGATATGTGTAGATCACCACATGGGAGAGCACCAGATATGGTCAGAACTTGTCGAAGGCATGCACCACGTCGAGCAGCTCCTTCTCGGTGCTGGTGTAGTTCTCCTATCCATCCTTCAAGGTCTTTGACACGTAGTAGATGAGCTGAAAATTTTTCTCGCGTTTTTGACACAGAACAGCTCCAACTCCATAGTTACTTGCATCACACATCACCTCGAATGGCAAAGACCAATAATGAGACACCATGATGGGTGCCTGGGTCAGATTCTCCTTCAAGGTCTCGAATGCAGATGTGCCTTCTGGAGTGAAATGGAAGGGAACATCCTTCTCGAGCAGCTTGGTCAGGGGCTAGGCGTGGTGAAGGAGTCGCCATAAAATGGACTTCCTGCAATTGACCCCTCACGAACCATAAAATGGCACTTCCTCTAACTGAGTGCCAAATTAGCCTCCTCGAATCTCTTTAGGACAAGTTCCAGGATATGGAGACAATGAGTGAAGGAGTCTCCATAAACCGAGAAGTAATCCATGAAGACTTCCATGATCTCTTCAATCAATCGGTCGAAGATCGCCATCATACAACGTTGGAAGGTCGCCGGTGCATTGCAAAGCCCAAATGGAATCCTCCGGTATGGAAATATACCAAAGGGGCAAGTGAAGGTAGTCTTCGTCTGATCCTCGGGCAGGATGGGAATCAGGAAGTACCCAGACATGCCATCTAGAAAGCAGTAGAACTCATGTCCAACCAACCTCTCCAGCATATGATCAATGAAAGGTAGCAAGAAATGGTCCTTCCTAGTGGCATCGTTCAGGCGCCGGTAGTCGATGCAGACTCACCAGCCAATCACGATCTGTATCGGGATCAACTCATTCTTCTCATTTTGGACCACAGTCATCCCGTCTTTCTTCGAAATCACCTGAATGGGGCCGACCCACTTGCTATCAGATATAGCAAAGATGATCCTTGGATCCATCAACTTCATGATCTCTGCCCGGACCACTGCCTCCAAGTTAGGAGTCAATATCCGTTGCGGCTTCCGGACTGACTTAACCTCATACTCCATCAGAATTTTGTGGGAATAAAAGGATGGGCTAATGCCTCTGATGCCAGTTATCTTCCATGCCATGTCCCAGGCGTACTTCTTCAGCAGACCCACTAGACTGCTATTTTGCTCAGGGGTCAGTTCCGAGTTGATGATTACTAGGAGCTTATTTACCTCCCAGAGAAATGTGTACTCCGGGTGGGAAGGTAGGGGCTTAAGCTCCAGCTCTGGCGGCTCCTGAAATGATTGGCGATTCGAGGCGAGATAGAGATTGAATGGAATGGCTTCTCTCACCCCTCGATCACGACTCCCTCTAGCTCCGCGAGCTGCTCCTTTAGCTGCAGCTCCTGTGATGCATGTTCCCTAGCAAAAGACAACGCTCGAGGAAATCATTAGTACTCGCACTCGTGATGGCGAGTGCGGTCTCAAAATCAGCAATCACATTGTAGTAATCTAAATCATCATGGAGATGGGGGTGTTTCATGTTATCAGACAGAGAAAGTGATATCTCACCTCTAGCCGTCAAAATCAATTTACCATTATTAACATCGATAAGCGCCTTGGCGGTGGCGAGAAAATTGCTAGCCAGAATTAAAGGCACCTCCACATCCTCGTTAATATCAAGAATAACAAAATCAACAGGATAGGAGAATGGGCTTACTCCGATTATCAAGTCCTCCGCAATACCCCTAGGATGCACGATAGATCTATCTGCTAACTGTATGCTCATCCTAGTGTTACTAGGTTCACCTAGGCCTTGCTTCTTAAACTATTTATATGGCCTGACATTAATGCTAGAGCCTAAATACGTCAAGGACTTTCCTACATACAAGCTACCTATCATGCAAGGGATAGTAAAACTCCTTGGGTCTTTTATCCTGTCCATTAGCTTGTTCTGCAGGATGGCAGAACACTCCTTGTTGAGCATCACCGTCGATAGCACCCCAAGCTTGGGCATCTTTGAAAATGCCTCCACAAAGGGCATACTAATATCCACCTGCTTCAGCATTGCCATAAATTTGGAAAACTCAGTCTCCAGTCTGTCTTTGCGCAATCGTGTAGGGAAAGGAAGCTGAGGGACATACTCCTTCACCACTGGTTGTGGCTTAGGAACATGCACCTCAATCTCCTTTTCACTTTATTCCTCATCTGTTGGAAGTGCTAAAGCAGGTCTCTCCTCCTCCTGTCTGGCCCGGACAGGTGGTTCAGTAGTCACCTTGCTGCTCCTGGTGGTAATGGCGCTCAAGTAGGCATTTGGGTCCTATAGATAAGGGATGGTCTGTCCGGGCAAGGTATCTATAGCCCTTTCCGCCACTGCTTGATCCACACTCCCCAACTGGGTATAGGATATCCTACAAAACATCGTGTGTGTTTCTCTAGCCAGCTTCAAGTGCTAGAAATTTACTTGAGGCCAAACCCACCAAATCCCGCAGTTCAGCCATCGCATCGTCTTGCACCGAGGCTGCACGAACTGTGCCTGGCTGCTGAAATGGACTCGGATGCGGCTGAGGAAGAGCTTGCCCCTGTATGGACGGATAGAGAAATTGTTGTTGTCGCTGGAACTGCCATTGTTTTGGCTGGTATGGCAGTCTCTGAAAACCGGGTGGTCATTGGGTGACTAGTGGCTTAGGATTACTACTACCCCAAGAAAATTTAGGATGTGGGCGCCACCCCCCGTTATAGGTATTACTGTGACGGTCAAAATGCCGAGCATTGCCGATGAAGTCCACCTACTTTTGGGGTGTAGTAGACTCCCTCATCGCCTGACAGTCTTCCACCATTTGGTGGCTACTCTCTCACCATTGCAATGCATGGCCTGATCCTGTCCTGTCCCGGAAACCATCCCATTTTTATCGAGTTGCATGACCAGTTTAGAGACAACTAGCACCAACTCATATGACTGGGTTTCCACGGCATGCACATCCCAGCCTGGTGCTCTCCTATACCTCATAGGAGACTCCCAATCATAGCCCTGCTCTGCCATTTCGTCAAACAGCTGGTCCAACTAGAGTAGTGTCTTTGTCAGCATGTTCTTGCCACAGGCTGAGTCAATCAGCTGCTTGTCTTCAGGGAAGACAACGTCATAGAAGGTGCCCACCTTAATGGCGTCATTAATACCATGATTGGAAAACTTTAGGAAGAGACTGGTACATCTCTCCTAAGCATCCCGAATGGTTTCATCCTCCTCATGAGCAAAATGTGGAATCTCCTTCTGCAAGTCTGCTGTCTTAGACTACGGATGATAGCGGGTCAAGGATTTGTTGGACAGGTCGGTGAATGTCGTGATTGACCCCAGGGCCCGGTTGTCCAACCACATCTTGACATGTCCCTCCAAAGTGAAAGGAAAGTAACACAACCGAATGACGTCATGAGGGGCCCCATTAATCTTGATTCCTTCTATCAGCTCGTGGAATCACCGTAGGTGCGCTCAAGGGCACTCTTCTGCCTTCCCATGGAACACCACTAAACCTCGCAACATGGTGATAACAGAGGTGATCACTTGAAAGTTGCTGACAGCAACTTGTGGGTGTTGGATGGTGGACCTCATGTCTGCGGCTCTGGCGGTCCAGTACTATCCCATGGTATGCTCCTCAGGGACAAACGCCCCGTCAGCGTTGAATTCACCCATTTCCTCCTCCTGGTTGATGTTCAGCTACACTAGAGCATCCTCTATAGCCATTCGCGCCTTCAAAGCTCTCTTAAAGTTGCGACAGGTCCTTTTAATCTCTTGGTCTAATGGCAGTAGATCTCCCGACTAGCTATGAGCCATGCACTACCTGCACACAAACTGCAAACACAACCCGTGAAGAGAGCGCATTAATTTTAGTTCTCCTTTATGAAATTTTTGGACCGATTGAAGGTTTGAGGAGGTTTAACTCGCATTGATCGGGTCAAATTAGGTTGGATACCCATGGATATGGGTTTAATTGTCTTTCTCAAACAAAAGAAAAAGCGAAATGAAAAACAATAAAGCTAAAACTTGCTATCGACTCAAAACTCTTCAACACCAGGTTCAACTCGCTTTGACCTGGATGGACCGAGTTTTTGGAAAATTCACACCTGACACAACACGCCAATTACAAAAACAAATAAAACTCGCTCCAGCCTAAAACATGTAAAATCAAGTTCAAGTCGCTTTGGTCGGGTCGAATTAGGTTGTATACCCATACGTTCGGACTCAATTGTCATTCTCAATCAAAAGGAAAAAGATAAAAAAAAATACTAAATCAGATAAAACTCGCTCATGACCCAAACTCTCAACACTGCGTTCAACTCGCTTTGACCATGGTTCATAAGTAGGAAACCGGCCTTAACTGACCAGACGCGTTTTGGGGTGTAATGGAAGAGTTCTTGTGAGAACTCCGAAGTTAAACGTGCTCAGTGTGGAGTACAACAAGGATGGGTGACCTTATGGGAAGTCACCTTGAATTGCACCCCAAGTCGAAATCCGTGCGGGTGTAGATGCCCAAAGCGGACAGTATCTTGTCGGAAAAAGGTTCGGGGTGTTACAATTAACACTTGGTCCAACCTGCCAACTACAAAAGTGGATAAAGCTCCCTCAACACTAGTCAAAACCTTATGCCCTGTTCACTTGCTATTTTGTTTTCTGTTTTTTGTTGTGACAATGAAAATTAATAAACAAATACAAAAAATATGTTCACTTGTTATTTCATTTTTGTTTTATAAAACGGAATGGCGCAAATGGGTAAGCTATGGGAAAACGATAAATACTCGTTCCTTGTAAATTATGAGGCGGGTTTCTCCCCGTTGCCCAGTGGAAAAACGCTACTGTAGTTAAATGAGAACTTGGGTTCGAATCTCAGACCCTTTTTTTTTTCTTTTATGACTTGTGACATCCATACGCAAAGCGGCCACTCTCCCAAGTCCAGCGCTTCGTCTTTACCTTAGATTTGAGTTCAATTGTCTTCCCAACCAAAAGAAGAAAAAAAGAGAAATTTATATATGCTAAAGTCGGTTTCAAGTCGCTTTGAAAGTATCGAATTAGGTTGGAAATCTATGGATTTGGGTTCAATTGTGATCATGCTCAAGAAAAAGAAAAAAGTGAGAAAAAAAATACTAAAGCAAACGAAACTCGGTCCCGATACAAAACTCGCAAACATTGAGTATATATGGTATGGATTTTCGGTAGCGGCATTAGGTTCAATTATGATCATTCTCAACAAAAAGGAAAAAGAGAAAGAAAAAATTACTAAAGAGGATGAAATTCGATCCCGATACAAAACTCGTGTTAGGGGCCTTGAAAATCGTGGGAAACAACTTAGGATTCCGCCGACAGTATTTCGAGATGGGCTGCGAAATGGTGGGCAAAGGCGATGATTTATGTTCAAGTTAGTATACTCATGTGTTTGGGTTCAATTGTGATCATGCTCAACAAAAAGGAAAAAAGAAAGAAAAAACATTAAAGAGGATGAAGCTCGGTCCTGATACAAAACTCGTGGTAGCAGCCTTGGGAAACGTGGTAGGGAACAACTTAGAATTCGGCTGATAGTATTTCGAGATGAGTAGCAAAATGACTTCTGCCTAATATGAGAGTTACTATTCATTAGTGTCTCTCACACTCCTCTAGGTGCAAGTGGGGAAGTTCCAAGTCTTTCTTTTACCTCACTCTCCATTCTACAACCTTTGTGTTTTGTTATTGTTCGTTAGGTTTACGTCTTTGGCTTTTTGCACAAATCATCACCTTTGTGTATTGTTATTATTCGCTAGGTTTTCGTATATGACCTTTTCCTTCTTGAAAATAACTAGGATTCCGCCAATAGCATTTTGAGATGGGCTACAAATAGTGGACAAAGGCGTCGATTTGTGCAAAAAGCCATAGACGAAAACCTAGAGAACAATAACTAAACACAAAGGCAATGATTTGTGAAAAAATCCATAAACGAAAACCTAGCGAACAATAACAAAACACTAAAGAGGATGAAACTCGATCCCGACACACAACTCATGGTAGCGGCCTTGGGAAACGATGGTGGAAAACAACTTAGGATTCCGCCGACAATATTTCGAGATGGGCTGCAAAATGGTGGCCAAAGGCGATGATTTTTGTTCCAGTTAGGATACCCATGCGTTTGGGTTCAATTGTGATCATGCTCAACAAAAAGGAAAAAACGAAACAAAAAAACACTAAAGACGATGAAACTTGGTCCCGGTACAAAACTCGTGGTAGCGGTCTTGGGAAACGTTGGTGAGGAAAAACTTAGGATTCCGCCGACAGTATTTCGAGATGGGCTTTAAAATGGTGGGCAAAGACGATGATTTGTGCAAAAAGCCGTAGACGAAAACCTAGCGAACGATAACTAAACACAAAGGTTGTAGAATGGAGAGTGGGATAAAAGAAGGACTTGGAACTTCCCCACTTGCACTTGGACGAGTGTGAGAGCCACTAAAGAATAGTAACTCACATGTCAACAAAAAGGAAAAAAATGAAAGAAAAAACACTAAAGAGGATGAAACTTGGTCCCGATACAAAACTCCTGGTAGCGGCCTTGGGAAACGGTGGTGGGGAACAATTTAGGATTCCGTCGTCCGTATTTTGAGAGGGGCTCCAAAATGGTGGGAAAACGTGATGATTTGTGCAAGAAGCCATAGACGAAAGCCTAGCGAACAAAACTAAACACAAAGTGGATGATTTGTGCAAAAATCCATGGACGAGAAACCTAGCGCACAATAATGAAACACAAAGGCGATGATTTGTGCAAAAAGCAATAGACGAAAAGCTAACAAACATAACTAAACACAAAGTCAATGATTTGTGCAAAAATCCATAGACGAGAAACCTAGCGAACAATAACAAAACACAAAGGCGATGGTTTGTGCAAAAAAGCCATAGACGAAAACCTAGCTAACGATAACTAAACACAAAGGTTCTAGAATGGAGAGTGGGGTAAAAGAAGGACTTGGAACTTCCCCACTTGCACTTGGAGGAGTGTGAGATCCACTAATGAATAGTAACTCACATGTTATGCTTTTATATATTAAAGCGGATAAAACTCGCTCGGACCCAATGTTAGGCGGAATCCAAGTTATTTTTATTTCAATTGTCATTCTCAATCAAAAGGAAAAAGATAAAAAAAAATACTAAAGCTAATAAAACTCGCTCATGACCCCAAACTCTCTACATTGCGTTCAACTTGCTTTGACCGGTTCAACCCAGTTTTAACAAATTTACAATTTACCCAACCTGTCAATTACAAAAGAAGATAAAACTCGCTCTCGATATGAAACGCGTCAACAATGGGTTGGAGCTATATTGTCATTCTCAACGAAAAGGAAAATGAAAAAGAAAAAAACATTAATACAAAACTCACTTTCGATCTAAAACTGGTCAACAACGTGTTCAACTCACTTTGAACAATTTTTTAAAAAATTAAAACTTGGTACAACCTGTCAACTACAAAAGCAGATAAAGATCACTCACAATACAACACTCGTCAAAACCTTAGATACGAGTTCAACTGTTTTCCCAACCTAAAGAAGAAGAAAAAGAGAAATTTATAAATGCTAAAGTTGGTTTCAAGTCGCTTTGACGGTATCGAATTAGGTTGGATACCCATTGATTTGGGTTCAATTGTGATCATGGTCAAGAAAAAGGGAAAAGTGAAAGAAAAAACACTAAAGCGAGCGAACTCTGTCCCGATACAAAACTCGCCAACATTGAGTAGATATGGTATGGATTTTTGTTAGCGATATTGGGTTTAATTGTGATCATGTTCAACAAAAAAGAAAAAAAGAAAGAAAAATACACTAAAGAGGATGAAACTCGATCTCCATTCAAAACTCATGTTAGTGGCCTTCGGAAACGATGGTGTGAAACAACTTAGGATACTGCCGATGGTATTTCGAGATGAGCTTCAAAATGGTGAGAAAGGCGATGATTTGTGTTCAAGTTAGTATACCCTTGTGTTTGGGTTCAATTGTGATCATGCTCAACAAAAAGGAAAAAAACACTAAAGATGATGAAGTTCAGTCCTGATACAAAACTCGTGATGGCGGCCTTGGGGAAATAGTGGAGGGGAACAACTTAGAATTCCGCTAATAGTATTTCGAGATGAGCTGCAAAATGGTGGACAAAGGTGATGATTTGTGCAAAAATTCATAGACGAAAACCTAACGAACAATAACTACACACAAAGGCGATGGTTTGTGCAAAAAGCCATTAACAAAAACCTAGTGAACAATAACAAAACACTAAAGGGAATGACACTCAGTCCCGATACAAAATTCGTGGTAGCGGCCTTGGGAAATGATGGTGGGGAACATATTAGGATTCCGCCGATAGTATTTTGAAATGGGCAGCAAAATGGTGGGAAAAGGCGATGATTTATGTTCAAGTTAGGATACCCATGCGTTTGGGTTCAATTGTAATCATGCTCAACAAAAAGGATAAAAAAGTAAGAAAAAAACACTAAAGAGAATTAAACTCGGTCCCGATTCAAAACTCGTGGTAGCGGCCTTGGAAAAACGGTGGTGGGGAACAACTTAAGATTCTGCTAACAGTAAATCGAGATGAGCTCCAAAATGGCGGGCAAAGGCGATAATTTGTAAAAAAAGCCATAGACAAAAACCTAGCGAACAAAACTAAACACATAGGCGATGATTTGTGCAAAAAGCCATCAACGAAAAACTAGCGAACAATAACAAAACCCAAAGGCGATTATTTGTGCAAAAATCCATAGACGAAAACTTAGCGAATAATAACTAAATACAAAAGTTGTAGAATGGAGAGTGGGTAAAAGAAGGACTTAGAAATTCCCCACGTGCACTTGGAAGAGTGAGAGCCACTAATTAAAAGTAACACACATGTTAGGTTTTTATATATTAATTTTTGGGTTTAATTGTGATCATGCTCAATATAATTAAACTAAAAAAAAGAAAAAAAATACTAAAGAGGACGAAACTCGGTCCCGATACAAAACTCGTTATATCGGACTTGGGAAACGGTGGTGGGAAACAATTTAGGATTCCGCAGACAGTATTTCAAGATGGGCTCCAAAATGGTGGCCAAAATCGATGATTTGTGCAAAAGTCATAGAAGAAAACCTAGCGAGCATAACTAAACATAAAGGCGATGATTTGTGCAAAAAGCCATAGATGAGAACCTAGCGAACAATAATAAAACACAAAGGCGATGATTTGTGCAAAAAGCCATAGACAAAAAACTAGCGAACAATAACTAAACACAAAGGTTGTAGAATGGAGAGTGTGGTAAAAGAAGGACTTGTAACTTTCCCACTTGCACTTGGAGGAGTGTGAGAGCCAATAATGAACGGTAGCTCACATGTTAGGCTTTTACATATTATGTTTGGTTCAATTGTGATCATGCTCAACAAAAATGTAAAAAGGAAAGAAAAAATTATTAAAGAGGAAAAAACTCGATCCCGATACAAAACTCGTGGTAGTGTCTTTGGGAATAGTGGTAGGGAATAACATAGGATTCCGCCGATAGTATTTCAAGATGGGCTCAAAAATGGTAGGCCAAGGCGATGATTTGTGCAAAAAGTTATAGAACAAAACCTAGCGAACATAACTAAACACAAAGTCGATGATTTGTGCAAACAGCCATAGACGAAAAAACTTGAAAACAATAATAAAACACAACGGCGATGATTTGTGCAAAAATTCATATACGAAAATCTAGCAAACAGTAACTAAGCACAAAGGTTGTAGAATGGAGAGAGGGGTAAAAGAAGGGCTTGGAACTTCCCCACTTGCACTTGGACTAGTGCGAGAGCCACTAATGAATAGTAACTCACATGTTAGGCTTTTATATATTAAAGCGGATAAAACGCGCTCTGACCCAATGTTAGGCGGAATCCAAGTTATTTTTATTTCAATTGTCATTCTCAATTAAAAGGAAAACGATAAAAAAAAATACTAAAGCAGATAAAACCCGCTCATGACCCCAAACTCTCTACACTGCATTCAACTTGCGTTGACCGGGTCAACCGAGTTTCAACAAATTCGCAATTTCTCCAACCTATCAATTACAAAAGAAGATAAAACTCGCTCTCGATACGAAACGCGTCAACAATGGGTTAGATCTATATTGTCATTCTCAACGAAAAGGAAAATGAAAAAGAAAAAAACATTAATACAAAACTCACTTTCGATCTAAAACTGGTCAACAACGTGTTCAACTCACTTTGAACAATTTTTTAACAAATTAACACTTGGTACAACCTGTCAACTACAAAAGCAGATAAAGATCGCTCACAATACAACACTCGTCAAAACCTTAGAATCTAGTTCAACTGTCTTCCCTACCAAAAGAAGAAAAAAAGAGAAATTTATTAATACTAAACTCGGTTTCAAGTCGCTTTGACGGTATCGAATTAGGTTGGATACCCATTGATTTGGGTTCAATTGTGATCATGCTCAAGAAAAAGGAAAAAGTGAAAGAAGAAACACTAAAGTGAACGAACTCTGTCCCGATACAAAACTCGCCAACATTGAGTAGATATGGTATGGATTTTTGGTAGCGGTATTAAGTTTAATTGTGATTATGCTGAACAAAAAGGAAAAGGAGAAATAAAAATACACTATAGAGGATGAAACGCGATCTCTATTCAAAACTCGTGTTAGCGGCCTTGGGAAAAGATGGTGGGAAAAAAACTTAGGCAATCGCCGACAGTATTTCGAGATGGGCTGCAAAGTGTTGAGCAAATGCGATGATTTGTGTTCAAGTTAGTATACACATGTGTTTGGGTTCAATTGTGATCATGCTCTACAAAAAGGAAAAAAAGAAGGAAAAACACTGAAGAGGATGAAGCTCGGTCCTGATACAAAACTCGTGGTAGCGGCCTTGGGAAACAGTGGTGGGGAACAAAGGTGATGATTTGTGCAAAAAGCAATAGACAAAAACCTAGCGAACAATAACTACACACAAAGGCGATTGCTTGTGCAAAAAGCTATTAACAAAAACCTAGTGAACAATAACAAAACACTAAAGAGAATGAAACTCGGTCCTGCAACAAAATTCGTGGTAGCGGCCTTGGGAAATGATGGTGGGGAACATATTAGGATTCCACCGACAGTATTTTGAAATGGGCAGCAAAATGGTGGGAAAAGGCGATGATTTATGTTCAAGTTAGTATACCCATGCGTTTGGGTTCAATTGTAATCATGCTCAACAAAAAGGATAAAAAAGTAAGAAAAAAACACTAAAGAGAATTAAACTCGGTCCCGATTCAAAACTCGTGGTAGCGTCCTTGGAAAAACGGTGGTGGTGAACAACTTAAGATTCTGCTAACAGTAATTTGAGATGAGCTCCAATGGCGGGCAAAGGCGATAATTTGTAAAAAAAGCCATAGACGAAAACCTAGCGAACATAACTAAACACATAGGCGATGATTTGTGCAAAAAGCCATCAACGAAAACCTAGAGAATATTAACAAAACCCAAAGGCGATGATTTGTGCAAAAATCCATAGACGAAAACATAGCGAACAATAACTAAACACAAAATTTGTAGAATAGAGAGTGGGGTAAAAGAAAGACTTAGAACTTCCCCACCTGCACTTGGAAGAGTGTGAGAGCCACTAATGAAAAGTAACACACATGTTAGGTTTTTATTTATTAATTTTTGGGTTTAATTGTGATCATGCTCAATATAATTAAAATAAAAAAAAGAAAAAATACTAAAGAGGACGAAACTCGGTCCCCATACAAAACTCGTGGTATCGGCCTTGGGAAACGGTGGTGGGGAACAATTTAGGATTCCGCAGACAGTATTTCAAGATGGGCTCCAAAATGGTGGCCAAACGCGATGATTTGTGCAAAAGTCATAGACGAAAACCTAGCAAACATAACTAAACACCAAGGCGATGATTTGTGAAAAAGCCACAGTTGAGAACCTAGCAAACAATATCAAAACACAAAGGCGATGATATGTGCAAAAATCCATAGACGAAAAACTAGCGAACAATAACTAAACACAAAGGTTGTAGAATAGAGAGTGGGGTAAAAGAAGGACTTGCAGTTGGAGGAGTGTGAGAGCCACTAATGAATAGTAGCTCACATGTTAGGTTTTACATATTATGTTTGGGTTCAATTGTGATCATGCTCAACAAAAAAGTAAAAAAGAAAGAAAAAAATATTAAAGAGGAAGAAACTCGGTCCCGATACAAAACTCGGGGTAGCGGCCTTGGGAAATAGTGGTGGGGAATAACTTAGGATTCCGCCGACAGTATTTCAAGATGGGCTCAAAAATTGTGGGCAAAGGCGATGAATTGTGCAAAAAGTTATAGATGAAACCCTAGCGAACATAACTAAACACAAAGTCGATGATTTGTGCAAAAACCATAGACGAAAACCAAGTGAACAATAACAAAACACAAAGGCGATGAATTGTGCAAAAAGTCATAGACGAAAATCTAACAAACAGTAACTAAGCACAAAAGTTGTAGAATGGAGTGTGGGGTAAAAGAAGGACTTGTAACTTTCCCACTTGCACTTGAAGGAGTGTGACTTGTAGTGATGGCAATTTCAACCCGCCCCGCGGGTATTATCCGACCTGACCCGCGATGGGGCGGGTATTACCCGACCCGCAGTAGCGTGGGGTGGGGCATGGGTATCTACATCCGACCCGCCCTGCCCCGCCCCGCCCCGTTCTAGACTCATTTTATCTCAATTTCTTACAATTTTTATACATATTTCTCCTATTTTGACTTTTATTCAACTAGTTAGAGTCTCTCTTTCAACTTGTTAAACTCAATTACTCATTCTGTTATCATTATTTTTCATTCTTAAATTGTTTTACCCTTCGTTTTATCGTAAAAAGTAAAATTTACTTGTATTTTTTTCGAATAACATGTAAGAGTGGGTCGACCCGTCCCGCCCCGTAGTAGCGTGGGGCGGGGCATGGAAATTGAGGTACCCGCCCCGCCCCGCTCCATTGCCATCACTTAGTGTGAGAGCCACTAATGAATAGTAACTAACATGTTAACCTTTTATATATTATATATTATTATTAAAATAATTAATTACTAGAATTTGGGCACCTTTGGGCACAGTAAAACCATGAAGTTCCACATCTGTTGTTGCCTTGTGAGGAAGTAGTAGAGGAGTTGTTGGGTGTAGCCTGAAGGTTTCTTTCACTATTGCTTGTAGATATGGTAATTGAGGGATATCCGATTCTTGAAGATGATTGTCTTTTCCAATAATTTGGTCTAGCTCTTTCTTTGCTTTAGTGATTGTACCCGAGTTGTAGAGGAGCCATGTCATTGCACATTCTAAAGTACGTGTATTTGTATCAGTACCAGTTACAAAGAGATCCTAATTGATTAAACCACGATTAGTCGTCAAAGAAAATAAGAAAAAAAAGACCAATCAATAAAAATTTATTTAAGAAAGTAATTTAGGATTGATGAATTTTATGTATGTTATTTTTCAACAATAAATGTATGATCCAACTAATTCTCTACACAATATCAAAGGACACTTATGAAAAACGTCTATTTGCTTAAGTATCAAATGGACATTTTTTATAATTTATTGTACGGCAGGAGCCAGATGTCATCGAACGACGGCTCGAAAATCTTTCAGCTAATTCATACTGATTTTCGCTTCTTCCTATAATTTTAAATCCTTTAGTTGCATCTGTTTTCTGTTTAGAAGCTGGCTTCTTTCCATGCATAATTTATAAAAAGGTAAGGGATTTGGAGAATGATCAATATGCGTTTCACCATCTTGAATTTGAACTTTACGACTCCACAAAAGATCTCCAGTAAAACACTAAACATGCAATACAATCAAAGGATTGGCTCCCTACAATGAACTGTATGATCAGATGCCTTGCAAAAAGCGTTGAAACCCTCATACTTTTCTTTGTCGCCTCTTACGAAAGCGGCGGATCCAGAACAGAGAAGTGCACTGGTCCGCATTTTATTAGAAAATTAGAATAGTAAAAAAATATAATGATTATAATTTTTTTACAACGTAAATTCTACACGACGGTATTTTAATTTAGCGAATGCATTAATAATGGAGTCCACATCCATACCAATAGTATACACTGGTTCAAATAAAATACTTGAGCATTCGACTAGAAATTCATCGCTCATTTTGTTGGGCAAATCAATTTTCACATGTTTCGTTGTTGAAAAGGTTCTATTCGTATTAGCTGTTGAAACGAGCAGCATCAACACTAGACAAATCAATCTACTCATCAATTTGCATTGTGTTTCCATCCCTATATCCACCAGCTGCTCTAGTAAATTTTCCAAGGTAACAAACCTCATATATGTTTTAGTCTTTTACGTTTTAAACTTTTTGAATTTTTAGGTTTCGTTGTTTTTTTAGACGAATAACCTTTGGGGTTAGAATTTATAAGCTAAATTTAGAGTAGTGATTTTGAATATGTTCATCTGAATTATTTTTCTAATTATACCCAATCTTATTTTAAAATAACAACGACCCGAATATCTAAAATCGAAAAATTCATAAGGCCTATACTAACTATGAATCCAGAGGAGGGCTGGGCCGGGGCCCGGGGTGGCCACCCCCTGGATCTGCCACTGCTTACGAATGAGGTTTGGGGAGTGCGAGAGTGATATTTTCCCATGGAAATCTATAAAAAGGTTGGAGGAAATTAATAAGTGTCTGTAAAACCATATGATACCGAATATTTGGCCGTAAAATTATCATATCTATAGGTAGTTTTTAACACAAATGAAATGATTGAACCACTGTTGAAACACAATTTTTATACAAAATACCCTATCACAAACTTTTTTGGTACAACCTCCAATACAAGTTCACAAACTATGAAATTAGTCTCATTCAAACCGCAAAAATTGAAAAAAATGGCACAAGATAAAGACCACACGTGTACGTGACAACAGAGGAACGCTTTTACCATGTATATATGGTTGCATAGGTCTTGCGGATGAGCAAACATAATGACAGCAGGTTCATATTAGCAAAACCCTTATTGAACAATTACACTATTATATCTTTAATTAATTCTCATGGAAATCTATAAATGGGTCGGAGGAAATTAATAAGTGTATGTAAAACCATACAATACCGAAGATTTGACTGTAAAATTATCCTATCTATAGGTGGTTTTTAACACAAATGAAATGATTAGACCACTGTTGAAACACAATTTTTATACAAAATACCCTATCGCAAACTTTTTTGGTACAACCTTTAATAAAGTTTCACAAACTATGAAATTACTCTCATGCAAACCACAAAAATTGAAAAAAATGCCATAAGATAAAGACCACACGTGTACGTGACTACAGAGGAACGCTTTTACCATGTATATATGGGTGCAGAGGTGTTGCGGGTGAGCAAACATAATGACAGCTGGTTCATATTAGCAAAACCCTAATTGAACAATTACACTATTATATCTTTAATTAATACCAGGTAGATTTTGTACCGCACTTCGCTATGGCTTTTCATATGATTAGAAGTATTATTTGCTAACCCGTATTTGATTTTTAACCGCGGTTAGCAACGATACAATAGAAAAATTCATAAAAAATCTAAATTGGTAGGTGATTTTACCTGTATGTAATGATTTCACTACGGGTGAACTATGATTTTAGTACAAAATGTCCTAATTCTAATTTTTCAGTAACGACCTTCGGTATGGTTTATAATTTTTGGTTTTTTTATGAACATATATAGAGGCTCGGGTTGAAACAGCATGTCAAGCCTAATTTAACCAAGATTCAATTATGATTTTAGCACAAAATATCATAATGCTAACTTTTTCGGCACGACCTTCGATGTGGTTTTATAGTTTTTAGATTTTTCTGTACATCGGGACTCGGGTTGAAGCAACATGTCAAGCATGATTTTAACCACGGCTGAACAACGATTTTAGCACAAAGTACGACCTTAGATATGGTTTTACAAATTTTGGTTTTTCTGAACATAAATCGATGCTCGGGTTGGAGCAACGTGTCAAGCCTGATTTAACCACGATTGAACTACGATTTTAGCACAAAATACCCTAATGGTAACTTTTCTGGCATAACGTTCTGTATGGTTTTACAATTTTAGGTTTTTTTCTTAACATAAATCGAGACTCGAGTTGGAGCAATGTGTCTAACCTGACTTAACCACAGTTGAACTACAATTGAACCATACTGGCGGTCCAATAGAAAAACTCCTAATGGAATTAAAATCGGTAGGTGATTTTAGTTGTATGAAATTATTTAACCACGGCTGAAATACAATTTTAGCACAAAATGACCTAATGCTAATTTTTTCAATACGACCTTTGATATTGTTTTACAATTTTTGATTAATTTTGAACATGCATCGAAACTCGGGTTGGAGCAATGTGTCAAACCTAATTTAACCACGATTAAATTACGATTGTAACATAAAATATCACAATGTTAACTTTAATTTTGAGCCAATGTTAAAGAATATTACTTTAATTTTCAGCCATAATACATCAATACATTCGGTGGTGTGTTGCTAATGAATCCCCTCCCCATTTATAACAGTAATCAACTTATTTTTAGCTTTGTTGGATTGATTGATGGCAATCTTTGCTTGTACATCTACTTGCAATGAGAAAGTGTGCTCTGGAATAGTGCATTAATGAGGAGGAGGTGGCAAAAAGTTCAATTAGAATATTAGCCAAAACCAAACAGAAGAAAATAATTAGCAATAGGTCAATAGAAAAATGTCTGTGGGCAAACAAAACTAACCTACCTGTCACATTAGCATAACCCTTATGAAACAGTAGACACTTTCTAACTTTAATTATATTGATCAACATGCATCGAAACTCGGGTTGGAGCAATGTGTCAAGCCTGATTTAACCACAATTAAATTGCGATTGTAACATAAAATATCACAATGTTAACTTTAATTTTGAGCCAATGTTAAAGAATATTACTTTAATTTTCAGCCATAAGACATCAATACATTTGGTGGTGTCTTGCTAATGAATCCCCTCCCCATTTATAACAGTAATCAACATATTTTTAGCTTTGTTGGATTGATTCATGGCAATCTTTGCTTGTAGACCTACTTGCAACGAGAAAGTGTGTTCTGGAATAGTGCATTAATGAGGAGGAGGTGGCAAAAAGTTCAATTAGAATATTAGCCAAAACCAAACAGTACAAAATAATTAGCAATAGGTCAATAGAAAAATGTCTGTGGGCAAACAAAACTAACCTACCTGTCACATTAGCATAACCCTTATGAAACAGTAGATACTTTCTAACTTTAATTGTATTGATGATAAATATAAATATAATATTCATAGATAGATAGATAGATGGTTCCGTGGCGCAAAGAGGAAGAAATGCAAAATGAATGCCTCGACCATTGCAGGGAGCGAATTGAAATGGCCATGGCATCATGCAAAAGCAAAATGAAGTCCTCGACCAATGCAGGGAGTGGATAAAAATGGCATGGCATCATCCTGAATCGTCCTTGATGCTTGAACTTCAAGGACAAAGACTTTTAGGGGGAGGATTGATGCATTGTAGCATGGGTCAGCCCATGGGGCCAATTTTAAATTTTGAATTATGTCATTCTTATCAAGTAATTGTTCTTATTTGGATAAACAAGAGCTCGATTTATTGTGTTTTGTTGAGTTGGGTAGTCTAACCTATAAATTTGTGGGAGGTAGCATTGTTTTCACAGGCTACCGGACCTTTGTTTGCAAGTATGAATGATGTCAACCATGATCGTGATGGCGTGGTGTTCGAAGAAGTGCAATTGCTCAAGACAGATGAACTGTAACCCACGATTCATGGGTTTTGTTTGTAACTCACAAATGAGAGAAAGACGTTGGTGTCTATAAATCTTTGATTTATTTCATTGATACGGAACTAATGCCAAAGGTACATATTTGTAGGCTTAGAAAAGCCTAATACTTAACCTAGTCCTACCCCTATTCGACTACCCCCTTCCCAAACGCAAAAGGAAAACTGGACCTAAAAGAAAAACACCCTAGCCCAACCCGAAAATAAACAAAAAGCCCAAACACGATAAATAACCTCATCAATCCTTCCCCCTCAAAGAACCTTGATCCCCAAGGTTCGTTCCAATGCCGGGACGCGGTGGTCGACGACGAAAACAACAGCAACTCTTGCGGCGACGTTGAGGCTCCCGTGGCTTCCGACACTTCCAGCTTGCACTCTGGCCTCTACTCTTCTTCCTTGTAGTGGCTAGTACTCTCAGATCTACAGCTTGGTCATTGGTAGCATGGTCCAATGATTCTCCTCCCATGTGTGATCTGGGCCATAAAAACAACAGAGATAGCCACCCATCGTAGTCACCATCTTTACCCCCACAACGTTGTTTGCCTTGGGCACTAATTTGGACGGAGAAGTGCTTGCGGCCACAAATCTCTCACCGGTTCATCGAATTTCACAAGTTCCACCCGGGACGCCGTACTGATGGCAGTCACTCGAGCGATCCCAGCGAACTTCCATTTTGAACCGTAGCTTTGCCTCTCTTAGATTGAACCCTAACCGCGAACTGATAGATGAGAGCCTCGTCGAGGTGGTGACCACCACGACACACTATTTCCTTCCCATCGCTTCCAGGTCGTTGGTTGAGAGCCTCGCATAGGTGAGAATCCTCTTTGAGCATTGTTTCCTTCCTTCCGATCTCGTTGACGGAGATCTTGATATCCACCGCCGCCCTAGGTTCATTGGCGTCAACGCGGGCCACGTTATCGTCGCTTCGCTCTCCTCCGAAGATGATTGTGCGGTTGGCGCTCAGCTCCCGTTCGTGACATAATGTCGTGAACCTTTCACGCGACTTTGCTAGCTGTGCATAGGAAACCTTGGTCTGCTCGAGCGCTATCTTCGCATTGCGTGCAAGGACGCGGTAGGGGGCTAGGTCCAGGACCATGTTACCCTTCCCAGTAGGATGCGTAACCAGGCTCTGATACCAATTGATGAACTGTAACTCACGATTCAAGGGGTTTGCTTGTAACTCACAAGCGAGAGAAAGACGTTGGTGTCTATAAACCTTTGATTTATTTCATTGATACGGAACTAATGCCAAAGGTAATAATTTATAGGCTTATAAAAGCCTAATACTTAACCTAGTCCTACCCCTTTTCGGCTACCCCCTTCCCAAACACAAAAGGAAAACTGGACCCAAAAGAAAAACACCCTAGCCCAATCCAAAAATAACCCAAGAGCCCAAACACGGTAAATAACCTCATCAAATACATCTTTTACATTTGTACCTTTTGTGTTTGCTCTTCGTAGTACTATTAGGGCTGCCCATCGAGTGGCACAAAGGTCCCTTGCATCGGTAGCAACTTATTTGGTTGACTGCTGCTCTTTCATTTCCACCACATTGAAATACTCTATCTATTACCATCTATCTATGACAAAAAAAAAAACAAGAGCTTGGTTTACTGGTAATACCACTAGCTTTAAACCTATGTCAAGAACCAGTTGATCCCAATAACTTGAGTTGTTGGGAGAGGTTCAATCGTGGATCATATACTACAACACTAACACGCCCCCTCAAATGAAAGCCACTCACAAGGGCTTGAAGTTTGCACATGTCTGTGCTTAACAAATGGGTCACCAGGTATCGAACACAAGACCTCTTGGTCACAGAAGGCTCTGATACCATGTCAAGAACCAGTTGATCCCAATAACTCGAGTTGTTGAGAGATGTTCAATCGTGGATCATACACCACAACACTAACAACCTAGAGGATTCAGGTTCGAATCCTTTAATTATTACCTAATTAAACAACATAAATTGAACCGATATCACCCTTATCCCAAAAAATAGTAATTGTTCTTATTTGGAATATTCGTAATAGTTTACGTTTAGGATTGCGCCCTAATTCTTTAAGCTTTGGGTGCATGTTGTTCGACGTAAGTATTTTAAGATTCTCATTGGGATTTATGATCAGCAGTTAATGGAAAGAAACATATCCTAGCAAACAATGTGAAGGAAGGAGTGAATGTGACCAAACCAGATGACACTGTAGCGGAGATGGTGTCATTCGAATGGGTCCATCCCGACCTAAGATAGGGGAAGACAAGACAAGTTAGGCTCTTGAGAAGAAAGGACATTTCCGCCTCTAAATGTACCTCTTGGCGGGAGAGCTTGAAACAGAACCTGACCAGAAAGCTGACAAACCGAAAAATAAATATTATGTTTTGAGGGTTGTGGACCGCAACCGAACAATTTAATCAATTACTAACGCGGTTACCTATGGTTAACCACAATTAGTGCGGTTAACCGTGACACAGTGACACAATCATAGACCAAAATATCCTTAAACCATAAAAATAGTTAGTAACATGGTTAACCGTGGTTAACTGTTAACCACACTTTGCAGTTAGTGGTTAACCGCAAACCGTTTGCGGTACGGTCGCGGTTGGCATAAATGGCTACATTTTAACCGCACCGATTCCCAACCCTAATTGTATTTGTTATTTGAAACATGTATTTGAGTTGAGGTAACATCTTCTCCACCATGACAAGGAAATTGCAACACCTTCAATTAAGGGTCTGGAGAGGAAGAATAATGGGGATTAAGACAGTCATGATTAAGATAATTGATTTCTTCCGCATCCATTCTCATAATGTTCAACTAAATTTCTTTAGTACTTTATGAAAACATTTTTAGAGTGCTTTGTGCTTCTTTAAACCTACTGCTAGGTCACTTTCGATTTATGATTACTTCACCCAAGTATTTGACTTGGGCAAAGCAGTCAAAATCGGGATTTTATCTAATATCGAAAATTGGGGTAAAATCGGAATCGTAAAATCGAATCGTAGAATCGTAGGATTTTAAGTACCATATAAAATTTAACATATAATAATATTCATAAGGTAAATCATTAATAAGACAAAGACATATAACATTTAAAATGATAATTTTCGAGTTATTGTTCCAAAATCATCATTTTAATTGTTATTTAATGCGTAACTCAAAATAATTTATGAGAAATGGATAGAGCTCATGGGGTTTGGCTCTTGTTTTTATATTGTGTTTAGGTAGTTTAACTCAAAGTAGTATTCCGACACCATCTACTAAGCATGATTTAAAACTAATAAGTGAACTCCAATAAAATAATTAATGTCATTAGTTTGGTACAAATATATTCATTAATCAATTAATTTATTATAATGATGCTAATTTTTACGTGTTTATAATTTTATGACAACAATTTTACCGATGAGTTAAACAAGGGGAAGGAAAAAGGGGTTGACCGAAACAGTTTTACTTCTTTTGAATTGACTTAAACTGCCTATTTTGTTTACATAGGATCAAAATCCCGATTTTGGTACGATTTTACGATTTTAAAAATTTTAATCCCGATTTTGAATGATTTTAAGGTCCACCGATTTTATAGTAAAATCAGGATCGGAATCCCTAAGTAAAATCCTACGATTTTACGATCAAAATCCCACGATTGTACGATCAAAATCCCGATTTTGACTGCATTGGACTTGAGTTATTTATATACTATTGTCATATTTTCTATTTAGAATGCTTTATATTTGCTCTTCCCAAATGAAATTCCAATTCCAAAAACTTTCAATAGGGAAGGAGTTATTATTTCTCATTGTTAGTCGTAAATTCCAAAGATCGTCGAAGAAAAAGTAGTAATTATTTATGTTCATTCCGACCAACAGGCTGCACAAAAAGTTTTAACAGCTAAAAAATAAAAATAATAGACGTCAAAAATCAGCTATCACAAGAACGTCAAGGTGTTACGAGGTGGAAAAATAAGGATGGGAACCGTCAATTAACGGGTGGAGCAGGCTAGATATAAGAAACGAGCACTTCTACTATGCTATATAGTATTGGTGTTTTAATGTACAACTTAAAGTTGTACCATAACATTAAATGTATAAGTTTATGTTGTACCATAAAGCAATTTGTACCATTATGTTATAGTACAACTTTACAACTTGAAGTTGTACCATCACATAAAGATACAAGTTCAAGTTGCACCATAAAAGAATTTATACAAAAAGTATAAGTACAATCTGAAATTGTACCATAAACGCAAAACCCTATAGCACCAATACTATATAGCATTGTAGAATTTCTCATAAGAAATCCTGTTGCTTACATTGGTGAGGAACGCGCCCACAGCCGCGTACTCCTCAAACGCCTTGGCATCCAACTGACAGTGCACGAACTTGGGAAAGAAGAGCCAGCACGCCGTCGTAGTGACGAATCCCATGGTCAGCACTCTCGAGGCTGACACCACCCACCAGGAGGACCACCTACCCTCCTTGTCCTTGTCATTGACGGCCTTCTTCACCGCAATCTCCGACGTCACCGCCGCCCCGTGGAGCAAGAAGAAGCAGGTGGTCTCCCACGTGGGCCTCGCTCGGCCCATGTAATAAAACATGAGCTCGTGCATCAACGCGGATACCACGAACGTGGCGAACACAGCTGGCAGCGGAGCCGACTTGGGCCCCACGAACCGTGTGAACAAATCCCGGGTCGGGTCGTAGACGGAGGGGCGGAGGATCCGTGTGACCGTCAGGTTCCAGCGCCTCCCCCAAAAGTCCTGAAGCGAGGTGGAGAGGTAGGGCTCGTTGAACTGCGGCTCCAGCTCCAAGCCGAGGAGCGCCCTGGCGGAGGCGGCGGAGGCGGCGAGGATGATTTCCAGCATGAAGTAGATGTGGAAGACGTAGAGGATTAGGAGGAGTTTGGGATGAATACGGTCTCTGTAGTCGTATACGCGTATCAATACGGCGAGGCATAGGGCCTTGAGCGTGTAATTGAGCGCTCTGGAGGATGAAGCTGCAGTCGGCGGCGGCTGCTGGATCTGGATCTTGATGGGGAGGCACGAAACGGCGACGAATAGTGGGAGGGACGATGGCGGCGGGTTACACAGGGGGCCTCTGCCAAAGGAAAAGAGGAGGAGTTTGAAATTGGCGAGCCAGGCGATGAAGAAGGAGGTGAGGCCGGCGAGATGGACGGAGGAAAGGTTGAGGGGCAAGTAGAGGAAGAGAGCGACGACGGGGAGGATGGAAACTAGGCGTTTGGGTCCTTTGGGGATGGATTTAGGGATGAGATAAGAGTAGAATAGGGAGATGAAGACCCAAACCCATACCTTGAGCAACTTTTCAATTTCTCCGCCCTCCATTCTCGACCTCACACAAACTGGATCGAATCGGATCGCTTCTTTCTTCGCGAGTCTTTCACTCTTTTGGAACAAAACTAAGCACTTAGTTGACACAGGGATGCCACTTGTGAAGAGGGGCTCGCACCAATCAATAACCAAATCTCTAGCTTTATTTAGAAAATTCAGACTTAAGAAAGGAGAATTAAAAACCATTTTTATTTTTTCTAGCTTTCTTAATTGACTCATATCTATTCCGTTTTAACTTGGATTTTAATTTTTTTTGCACAGATGGAACGAGTTCATCGTTCTCTACAAAATGAGATCAATTTTCAATATTTTTTTGAGAAAAAAAAAATTCTGGCCTCTCGGTACCAACTGCATACCATATGGTATCTTCTTCGTTTTTAATTCGTTTTTGAAAAAGTTTGCACAGAAGGGACGAGTTCATCATGATCTATTGGATCTACAAATTTCTGGGTGAACAAATTACAGGACCAAAAAATACCACACAATACCACCCCGGTACGGGGTGGTATTGTATGGTATCTTCTTCGTTTTTAATTCATTTTTGAAAACGTTTGCACAGAAGGGACGAGTTCATCATGATCTATTGGATCTACAAATTTCTGCGTGAACAAATTACAAGACCAAAAATACCATACAATACCACCCTGGTATTGTGTGGTATTGTGTGGTATACAATGTTAAAAGTCGTGAATGAAAATTAATATACTTCTACTATCATGTATTCAACCATCCTACAGTCTTGGTTTGTTCATAGCACCATGGTACTTTTTTCAAACCATAGGTATGCTTTTATTTCAATACCAGTCAATACCATATGGTATAGACTGGTAAAAAATGGCTCAATTTTTAATGTTCGAAAAATATATTAAAGTGGATATCATTTTGAAAAGCACAATTAATCTGATCTAACTGTGCAAAAAAAAATAATTAAATTTCGACTTAAAATGAGTGAGAAATCGTCCGTCAAAGATTAAAGAGGGGAAATTTAAAGGCTTTCCATGAGATAGAGGATGCTGATGTCATGCTGATGTGAACGGGTTACTCATGGTTACTCACCATAAGGTTAATGACCTGATCCATTCCCGTGAAGAGGTTCCTATTAATTATCCCATATTTCTGACTTGGCATCGTCCTGATTAAAGATATGACTGGTTCCGAGAAGGCTCCTTATCCTTATTACCAATGATTTAAATATATAACTAGCTTTGATCACCACCATTTGCCTGCTGACTTTCATTTCATATTAAATTAGTTTAGAGAAATTTTGTTCATATTCTTGAAATTCTCATAAGTCTCAATCATACACTACTTTAATCTTCAATTATTTTTCATGTATTATTCAAAAATATATTTGTGTATGACCCGAAGATGTGCTTTGAGAATTTCACTTGTATATACAAAGCTAATCTAGTCACTTTGGGGACACTTACAATATCGATATGATATATGTTCATTTATAAGTGAAAATATTCAACTCATAATTGATATATATATATATAAACTTTTGGCTACATGTATAACATGATCATATTATAATATTTCAATTTTTGATAACTTAGGAACCTCAACCCCACATGCCACTTTGTGACAGAGTGATCTACTAAACCTGGAGAGCATCTGTACAAGACACAACATCGGGAGACTTCGTCCCCGACACTCAGGGATGCCTCCTGGAACACACAAACGGCGCCGTTGGGGATCGAATTCAGGACCTCTCACATCCTGAGCCAACTAGACCAACGGTTTCACCGCTAGGCTATATTACCTTTGGCAATATTTCAATTTTTTTATCATCACACTCATAATGGTTCATGGGACTAGTTAGTATAACAACACTCCTTTTGTTATTAAGATAACAACAATAGTGTTCAGCTAACAGTAAGCTAGAGTTTTTTTTTACAAAAGATAATCATGTATTGATCCAAAAAAAGATAGTTACATCCTGGAATTCAGCCAGGTCTGATAATCAAAGACACGACTCATAGTTAGATACAAATAAAGGGCCTTCCTAGCCACAGAATGGGCTACCATATTGCTACCACGACCTACAAATCGAACACTAAAACCAGAATGAGTGCTAAAATAATGTACTACTTCCTCAAGAACTGCACCCATCCGGCTATCCTTGGCATCCGCACAATTAATTTTGTCGATGATTACTTTGGCGTCGCCTTCAAAAGTGATGTCCGTAAATCCCAGTTCCAGACACCATAAAATAGCCTCACGGAGCACCAGCAACTCAACTACCGTAGGATCATCTATCAACTGGAATTGAACCCCCTTAGCCAGTATGATTTCCCTCGCGAAATTGAAAATAACCAACCTGCCTGCCGAGTGAGACCCACTCGTAGTGGCACCATCCCACATACAAACCAGGCTAGCAGCCCCCATAGATCCTGGCTGGCGCATAGCACGCCCCGAAGCCTGGGGAGCATTATTGGTTGGCAAATTAACCAATTCCTCATACTGTTGGTTAAACTACCTCATCAACGCAGGGAAACTGCACAGTTTGTCTTCAAAGACAACCCAGTTACGACACCACCAGATCCTCCAAAGGACGGCCACGACTGCCATGAACAACCTCGCCAGATTAATCAAAGCCATCAACCTCTTCAGAAAAAACGGGAAGGTATGCTGAGGCAAACCCTCCACTAGATACTCCAGGCCCGAATAATCCCAGAGGGCACGCGCCACCGGGCAATAGAGGAACAGATGCTCCAACGATTCAGAACTACCCTAGCAAATAGGGCACCGGGGATGTACCAGGACCTTCTTTTCAATTAGGGCTTCATTAGTTGGAAAGGCTCGATTGAGGATTTGCCATACAAAAACTTTTAGCTTAGGGGGAATATCCGCTTCCCACAACCGAATCCAACTAGCCTTATCCATCCAACTCATCGTAGATTTCCAACCACCCCTTCTCCTATCTAGGGAGAAAGCCAAATGGTAGGCCGACTTCACTTAGAAAATCCCATTAGCCAGATTAGCCTATCCTCCATATTCTGACGTGGGAGAGGAATTGCTTTGATAGCTCGGTAGGTAGAAGGTTCAAACCATTGACTAAGTTTATGGTCACACCACCGCCCCTCCCCCTGAAAAATAACCTCAGCTACTGGAGGGTCGCCCTCAACCGGCAAGACCTGAAGATTATACACCTAAGGTATCCAATTTGAGTGAAGCAGGGAAGCAGGCCGACCATTCCCAACTAGCCATCGCAACCCCATTTCCAACAATTGTCGTCCAAATAGGATGCTCTGCCAACCCCACGAAGGACGTGAGCGAGCCGTAGCTTGGATGAAAGAACCATTAGGGAAGTACTTAGCTTTATACACCTGGGCCAGAAGGGATTGAGGTTCCGTCAGGATCCGCCAACCAATTTTGGCCAAGAGGGCTTGATTAAAATGTTCGAACCGACGAAACCCCCCCCCTTCATTCTTACTTCTGCACATATTGCGCCAGGACATCCACCTTATCTTAGAATGGTCTGCATCAGCCCCCCACTAGAACCGGGCCACATGTCTGTCCAGAAGACGACAGAGAGAAAGAGGTAACTTGAAATATGAAATCACATATAACGGCAGAGCCAAAGCAACTGATTTAATCAAAGTTTCCTTAGCCGACCATGATAATGTCCTTTTCTTCCATCCCTATAGTCGTTCTAACAACTTCTCTTCTAGATATCGGAAAGTGGCCATTTTAGACCGGAAAATCAGTGTCGGTAACCTCAGATACTTATCATGGACCCCTACCGCACCGACACCCAAAATCGTAGCTAAAAATTCTTGATCTGGCAGAGCAATGTTCTTGAATATAGGCAGCGCCCATACGTTTGTTAGTCCAAGTGAATTGATCACCCTGAAAACCTGGATCATGAAGACCCATATCCTGAACAAAGCCTCGAAGGCTCATCGATTGCACCACATTCCATGCTAATCCACCATCATTTTCTCCCTCATGGAGAGTCGAATTGAAGTCAACAATTGCAGTATAGGGAAGGTGGATATTATCACAGATATCACAAACATGAGCCAACTGAGAAGCTCTAATTGCCATATCACGGCTAATATAAACAAAAATCACAACATAAGAAAAATCCACTTTATTAATTTGAACACAAATACAGAAGCTGGAATGAAAGAACACCAAAGTATCAACCCCGGGGGCCCAAGCAACTACTAAACCGCCAGATGCATCAATTGCATGAACAAGGAAACAACGAGAAATATCAAATCCTAAACCCCGCATACGACGGGACACTACTCTCCGGCTCGATCGAGTTTCTGAAAAAAATACGAGATCCTGTTTATGAGAATGAACTAATCCGACAATTATTTGGAATGTGAGTGATGGCCCAATTCCCCTCACATTCCAGGCCAAAATCCTCATTTATCTGGTTAGGGCCACTCTAGGCTGGCTTCCTCCACCTTATCAGCTAATTCCACAAATTGTTTCTTTAACGTAGGAGGGTCTCCCACCTCCTCCTCCATTTTATCCAATCCATGCTTATGAGTCCCCATCACTGGGTCCAATAAATTGGCACCATATTCATTCAGCTGCACAAGAGGATTAGAGTCAACCTCCCGGAGATTGCCCTCTATAACATCCCGCACCAGGCACCGAGTAGGGGGAGGCCCCAAAGCACCATCACCCTTAGTTAAGTACCCGGCCTCAAAGGCCGCTACCACTTGGTTAACCCGACCCTTAGGGGGCTGGCCAGTCCTTCCAGGGTCTCCCACAGGTGATCGTCTTTTGATCTCGAAGGAGTGGTTCTCTCTCGAGGAATGATATCCATCAGATTCATAGGAAGCTTGCTGATGCCCTACCATATCCTCATTAGAGTCCGCAGGATCTTTCTCCATGCCAAGACCCGAAGGCGGCAGCTGTTGCTCCCTCTTCCTCTGCCAACGAAGAGCCGTCCCAGGCCTCCCCACATCGACCCCCGCGGCGAGCTTCTTCAGCCTCAAGCTAGAGCGTATCTGCAGTTCCTGCTGCCTGACGCCACTCTCCTCCTCGTTCCCCCCTGTAACTCCATCCGCTGTCTCCATGCTTCACGCGAGAGGGGAGACGGTAGCACGAGACTGCTTGGGAGGATCGGGACCATCATTCAATCCCTGCTCAACATATTCCTCCTCTGAATCCTCCTCAAGAATGAGGCGGCGATGGGACTGCTCCATGATCTCGGTTGGCTTCGTAGCAGACCCCCAATGGTATAAATCAGCTCTCCGTCGGCCACCAGTAGAACGACGTGCCGCCTGCTTATTTACGGGGTCTTGAGCAACTTCCCTAGGAGATTTTTTACACGCGATTTGCGCCCACCAATTTTAACACAAGGTGAGGCCTTGATCGGAAATCTTTTGGGGCTAGCACGTCGGCCAAAAGTTTTTTTCAAGAAAGCTACCATCTGGGTCCAACGGTGCCACCATACGAGTTGGGTGGTGATCGGCAGCCACAGAAGATTTGCGTTGTAGACAAACTGCTCTCTTCCCTTGTTCTTGTGTCTCGCGCCTCACCATGGTGCGTTCATCCTTGGTGTCACTATCTTGAACCCTCCGCACACCTTCTTCCTGCTTAACTTGAACACTCTGATTCACCCAAACCGAGTTGCGGTTATTTCAGAAAGTAGAGTTATCATCCTCATAATCATAGATCTTCCTACCAATCTTCCTTTTGGACAAGTGAGGGCCGAAGCGCTCTTACCCAGCCGGGGAATCAAACGCGTAGGCATGGTGGTGAAGTCTATTAGTGCTCGAAGCTTCACAAACCGTTCATTAGTATCATTCGAAGCGAAGACTCTCGACTCAAGGACTTGCCAATGGTGCCATGTGCCACTTTCTGGCCAAACTGTTTGGTACAACGGTCCTCCTTCACATTCCAAAGCTGCACCCGAAATGGAGCAATGGCCAGATCCTCGAAGGTACTTAGAGTGATCGTTGATGACCAAGACCGTAAATGGGCAATTACATCCATAACCACCCACGGGGTTTGTTTGAGAACTCAAACCCGTGCTTCAGCAGTTGGCAACACAATTTCAAAGAGTCCATGTTTCGTGACGGACACTCGTAGCTGACCCTTAATCTGCCATGGGACAAGCAACGCATCTCTCAACTCTGCAGGCGTGGTGATGGCGTCAGTGAATAACCGTCCCAGCAGACTACGCGAAGCTCGGAATTTCACCGACCGCACCTCCTCAAGGGAGAACTGTACCACCTGGTCATCAGCAATGCGAGCCATCCTATTGACCATACCTGAAGAGTTGTCATTGTCCTGCTTGATGTTCGGGGATATCAGCCCTGACGTCTCCTGTACGAACAAAGCTAGCTCTTCTCCTTGGAATAAAGAATTGAAGAGGGGATTGATGTTAAT